GGGGGGGGTTGGGGGACATAGGTCAAATTCCCAACTTTCAGATTATCTCCCATCCCCCTCCGACTATGCTTAGTGGACCCAGTAAAAAGTTAGAATCATGCAACTGGCCTATAACTGCAGCCACAACACTTGCAAATTATATGAATATTGCTGTTGGGAATGATCTTACCAGGACACTGTTCTACTTCGGTCACCAACTGATTACACTGACCATATGGGAATGATACAATATAGCTTTTTTCAACAACGCATCGCTTCTGTGCCTCACACCACATGCATTGATTTGACAGTAAATGCCGAGAAGTCTTTGAGAGACATTTCTGGCAGGTTTGGTGGTTCTCGCAATTCAACTTCTGACAGCTCTCACCTAATGAATATAATTTAAGAAAATTTCAAAATCAAGGATAATCAAGGACTTAAGTCACTTTAGTTATGGAAATATTTATCAAAGGTTTAATTACCCTTGCAGTGTGGATTTTGCGATAATTTACAAGCCTGTGAAAACAAGAAAAAACTGTGAGGTTTAATGATAATGTCACTACTGTGGTCTAAAAGAATCTCTATGTTTTTTCTCCTAGCAAATTACAGGTCATAAAAAGTCTGTTTTTCTGTCTTCTCCACGACAAAATGGGAATGGGCACAAATAGTACCCAGGAGTCAACAACCTAATTACGTATGCCAAAATCCAGACCGGAACTGGAATTGGGTTTCCAGACTGAGTTATTTATCAGTACTACATTAGAATACAAACACTATAAGTGTGCAACATAAATACCACTAAATACTGCTAAATAATGCTAATCCTATTGTTTTCTATTGTTTAATTAACACTATTTACTACTAAATAGTGCAAAGTGTTGCACACTTTTAGTGTTTGTACTCTATCAGTATTTTTGGAAGCTCAACCAACTAAATACTCCATGCATGTTGAAACCAGGCCCTCCACTCCCCCTTTCCAGGTATCCCAGTCAACGCTGCGTACAACGTTTAGTTGAGTGTTGAATGAGAGCCAAAGTATATGATGATAGCATTCAAGATGATGATATTATAGTAATAATATAATTGAATTAATATCAATATACCATTTAATATTTGATGGATTAGTAGGTTTAGACTAAAACAATTAGACCTCTGGCCTTTATGGTCTGAGTGAATAGCCTATTGTGTAGTTCCAAAAATTATCCATACCCCCCTCATGGAGGAATATTTTTAAGACACCCCTCTACCCCCACGAAATTCAAATTTTCTTCCATACAAACTCTGTAATTTTTGTTCTTTCCCTGACCCCCCTATACTCTTTGGAAATTCCAAATTCCTCTGTGGGGTAGGTATGGATGATTTCTGGAACTACACATTTTGCCTTTGGCCTCATGGGCTATTGACTTGTCGACCCTTTGGATTTCATCTTTAATATTTCCCCTATATCGTATGTCCATACCCCACCCACAGAGGAAATTGGAAATTCTGGAGGGGAGGGCGGTCAGAGAAAGAACAAAATTACAGAGTGTTTATGGAAGAATATTGGAAGTTTCTAGATAGGGGTGGGTGGGGGGTACTTTTACAAATTTCCTCTGTGGTGGGGGTATGGATATTTTCTGGAACTACACATTACACTATAATTACAGTCACAAGTAGTAGCAAGCCTCACCTGAGATTTATTGCAGAAATCTTCTTTTTCCTTACATTTGTTATCACACCACTTGCACTGCAATCCTTGAGAGTTACATTCATTACATGTTCCTGAAGCATTGCACAAATCTGCCATAGAAAAAAATATATTTCAAATTGAAACTCTTGGTGCAAAATGCAATCACTTTTAGCTAAAGATGAATCACATCCAATGTGTGGAATATTTAAAAAAGAAATAATCAGAGAATAGTCTCTTTTACAGTTCCCTGCACCATCTTGAAAGGATGGTGAGCTTGCAATGATAAAGAACTTTTTCAACACCTTGAAAATTATTCACATCTCTATCACTGCCAGCTCATCGTTCATCTCGCTTCAATGCAAAGGCTACCTTTCAAGATGGCACAGGGAACTGTGAAAGGGACTATTGCTTACTTTTACATCTTGGTCTTTCAAAGGAATCATTGCTGATAAAACCTTCAGACGGGCTAACACAATGATTGCTTAGAGGATCCCAAAAACAGCCAGACAAAGAGTGGGCTGCAAGACAAGTAGTTCTGTTCTTCCATGCAGAACAGTCACCTACAACAGAGAACATAGGGTTTTACTATTTATGAATGATGTTAATTTTTTTCCAGTAATTATAATTATAATCATTGTTGTAGGCATCTTAAAAATATACAAATGATGCCAACCAAACTACAGTACGACAATTCCTAATTTAGAGCTGTGACATGGAAGTATATGTGATAAGGGCTATTCCACTATACCTAGTGAGTAGCTCAGCAAGTCATTTATCATCTCTCCATTGAATCCACCAAATATGAACATTTTTCTGGCAGAAAACAAACGAATGGTAAGTAACCATAAATAATAGATTTTAGGGGGAAGATTCTGAACAGTGAAATATACAAGCACCATTTTTGTGGAGGTGTGAAAGACCCATAGGTTGTATTTGTAATAACTGGAAAACTGTTCTTGTTTTTGTACTTGTACTTTTAATAGCCAATGGTGCCGACTAACAAAGCTGTGGTCCTTTTTCCATTATTGAATTGGAATTTAGGAGTTGATTTTTTTTGCCAGGCAGGACTTGAAGCGGGGTCACATTGATGAAAGGTGAGCGCTCTCACTGCTATGCCACCCATGCTTGCCAAAAGCAAGGTTTCCTGAAAGGCCTTTAAGGATTAAACATTTTGGGGAACATACCAAAATATCCTGTTAAATATAACACTAGGATCACCGACAAGGAAGAAGACATTTATTGGCTTAGTTAAAAGGTAAAAAAAACCTGTTATAAATGAAGCCTGATTGGCCAAGGCTTCCATGAGAGGTGATTGGCAGTGCTGATTTGGGCATGGTCATCCACTTGCCACAAACTGAAGTGAGATGACAAAAGAAGTTATACAAGTACAAGGAAATGGAGACAGTAATGAAGGGAATGAAGAGACAGAAAGGCAGACAGACAGACAGAAAAAGAACAGGTGATAAGTATGTGAGAGGAAGGAAGAAAGGAAGGAAAGAAGGGAGAGAGAGAAGGAGATGGGGACAATAAGTAAGAAAGGGAAGGATGGATGGAAGGGAGATAGAAAAGGGAAGGAAGAAAGAAGAAATGAATGGGAAAAAGAAGCACATCAGTTTGTATATTCAAGATTCCCTATAAATTACTTAACACTTACTTAAATCATAGGCTAGAAAAACGGAGTCAAAACATGTAGCAGCTGATGAAGATATTGCAGTATTACCACCATAGACCAACATAAGGTGACCAATCAAAACTGCTGAATGTAAATACTGCGCTACACTGCTGCTCTCTAGCTTGGTCCTACAAAATTAAGCATTAAACAGGAGTGGTAAGGGGTATTTGCTCTAACTTTTGATTTTTTTAAAATAAATATTTGTGATCTGTGATAAGGAAAAACTATTTTCCATGATTTGTGATTCTAACATGTTCTAAAATTTGTGAATCGTAAATGCATGACATTAATTTCCATGAACTATGATCATACTTTGAAAATTGTTGTGAACTGTGGAGAAATCCCTACTTATTGCCCCTCTTTAGGCAACAAAATGGTGTTATTTCTCTACCATTACTGAAATAATTTAGAAAATTTCTTTCTCATTCAAATTTGTATTACGGTAACCTGAGAATAGTAAGACAATAGACCTTATTCATGGTGTGACAATGTTTTCCCAATTCAGGGTGACGAACCTCCAGGGGATTCATTTTCTTTTGTTTTTACTCTTCTAAAAATTCATGAGTATCCTGAAGGATACGAAAGGAATAACGATGATATTCCGATGAGTTTCAAAACAATAGCTCCGCATTCCCCCAGAGGTTTGTCACACTGAATTGGAAAAACATTGTCATACCACAAATAAGGTCTATTGGTGCTGATTAACTGAACAAAAGAAAGTGTTCCAGGGATTCTAGTAGCTGTAGTTAATGGTGCCATAATACAAATGTCCCATAAACAATTTTTTAAACAATGAAAACAGCCCTAATGCACTTACCACTGGTGTGTGACAGGGTTATAGCTATGTAAATCATCTGATACTCCTTTATCAGCTATGCTACTAGAAGTGCCAGCATATACATATATTAAACCAGAGATAGGATCATATACACTACTGTGTCCATATGTTCCTTTCCTTGATAAGGTGTGTCTATAGATTATCCATTTATCAGTTACTGCAAAAAAATTTTTTTTTTAATGTTTAGAAAATTCTTTAAAAAGTCTTGGTAATTAGTATAGGTAATAGGACTACATGCTGTCCAATTTGGAAATAATTGAATGAAAAAAATTCTGAGGACTGACAAAATTGGGAGAGGCCGATAGGCCGAGTCTAATTTGGCAGTCAGAGGAATTTTTTGAATTCAATTATTTCCAAATTTGACAAACATGTCCTATTGCAGATTAATTATATCATCTCAAACTATACTAGACCAATTCTATAAGTCATAGTTTTCCCTCAAAAGAATGCGAATGGAAATGATCCAAATTAATCTTTAATTTGTACAGGAAAGAGAATCTGAAAATAATACAATAGTTGCTTATATGGGATTATAGAGTGGTGATACAATTAAATACAAAATAAAGCAACTTCAAGATCAAGAGACTAATATTATACTAATTATGCAAGATTCCATGAAAATACTTTATTTACTTATTTAACAGTAAATGGTTTGAACCCAGGTGTTGAAGTTTGTTGTGAAATAATAATTATCGTCTGGGTGGGTATAGTCTTGAGAAAGACTGTTGTTGGTGGTGACTGACGTTTCGACAACTTGAGTGGAAGTCATCTTCTGAGTCCAGTGAGAAAACATGACACGGCACGTTAGACTTATGGATTTCATATTTGACATTAATTTGGGAAAATCATTTATTCAAGGGAAGCCCTTATTTAAAAAAAAGTGTTTGCCATATACATAATGTGTAACCAATCATTCAATACAAACTGAATACAAATGTTTAAATAATACAAAGTACCATAATACTTTTTTGGTATGGATAAAAGCGACACTTATTTGGGGTGGCACTCATTCATGAGCAGCAAACAGAATTTTGGTCTTAGTTGTGGCACTTATTTAAGGAAGGTATTTAATCGGAGATGGAGCTTAAACAAGTAAAATGGTATAAATACTCACAAGTGAATTGAACCTAAGTGCCAATGGGGTGAGTGAGAGGTGGGTGATCTGCTATTACGCTACCTTAGTTACTCACCTAAATCGAATTCTTGTACATATGGAGTATAGCCATATTGTGGACCATACCCAAAGAACACTATCATTTTATTATTTACAAGAGTAGCCGAGTGACCAGATACTGCAATGGGGAGCGAACTATCTAATGAAAACTTAACCCTCTTCCATCCTTTAGTTATTATGTTAAAGTGCCAAAGGTCTCTGAGCGTATGACCATCAAGAGAAACTCCTCCAAATATGATAATAGAATTCTGAAAGTCAAAAATTAGTCACTAGTTTGATTACAGATAACAAAATAAAGCTGTTTTTTTTAATGAATCACTTTAACAGATCTAATCAGTGTTTTCCAATTACGTAATTCCCTTGAGTATTATTTCTTTCATTTATCAACCAATAAAGCTTGAAGGATAATGTTGATGAGAATCTTATCCTAAAGGGAATGAAGTGTGGTCTGAAATGGGAAACATGGTACATTCTCTTTCCCATTTCCCATCTCATTGAAGTGTATGCCATACTATTCTATGCTATTTTTTATTCTATTTATTCCATCCCATCCTATTTTTTTCCATTTCCTTTTTATCATTTTCTATTCCACCACATCTCTTTCTTTATTTCACTCCATTCCATCGTACTCCATTCTATATTTTATTGCACTCTGTTTGATCTTATCCATTCTATTTCATCCTATTAATAATTCTTTCATTTATTCCCTTCCATTCTCTTCCATTTTATAGTGCTTTCCCCCCTCATTTCTCATCATTAAGGTATAGTACTTACATTACATGCAACAAGTGAGTGTCCATATCTTCTGCTTGGACCTTCACCTGAATAACTAACTATTTCCCAATTATTTGTAGAAAAACTATACCTAGAAAAATAGAATTAAAAAGACACTGAAATATTCTTGCATATTTTTAAAGATATGTAAATTCTAACAATTAATGTTGAAAAAGAGAGACCTATGAAAAATATGCATTAAAAAACCATACTTTTTTACAGGGCTTGCTTTGTCAACAACAATTATTAGGATTTGCCAAAAGTAAAGTTCAACCTACCTAATAAGATCATTAAATGGCCTACTGGTCAATGAGTAACCCCCAAACACCCATAACCAGTCTCCTAGCAACCCAGCTGCATGAGATGCTCGTCCTTGAATAATATCTGAGAAACAAATGCATTAATAAGGATAAAATGTATTATTATTTACTAAGTTTGTTTAAGATAGTATTTCAGTAAAATAATTGTTAAAGGGTTTCGGCAATAGATAGAGCCGAAACACTATGTCTGTGAAACAGTACTATATATATCTAATCTGATCTGCATAGTTTATCTAGCAACACRTGCAGCTAATTATTAAAAGACTCGGAAAAAATGCAAAATGTTTTTTGTTTAGGTTTGTGGCACTGGTTGAAGTCCCGTGAAGCCGGTAAGGTTTTTCAAAGGACTGTATACCTCATGTGTCTATAGGTGACTCTGTGGAAAATATCCATACCCCTAGCAAGGGCGGCATTTTGGAAATCTGAAGGAACAGGGTCTTCATCATTTTTTTGTGTGTACACTTCTCTAAATTAGTGTAATACATACCTTGGTTTCCAGCAGTATGCTTACTCCAGAAGCCATAATTGCTGGTACTATTACATGATGGACCTAAAAATAGAACATTACATGCGAATATGTTGGTATGAATGAGCAAAGGTAGAAATATTGTGAGTAATTTGAGTGTTTTCACTGCTTTAATAATAACTGGATTTATTCATTTATTTTCAATGCTGATATTAGACACAAAACATGTATACAGCTCATAAGGTAGATGATGAGATGAAATGCAGGAGCAACCTCAAAGCACAGGGCAGGACCATTTGAAAAAAATAGATGGCCTCGTGTAACATGGTGCACTCAGCAACACAAATAGATAGCTACAATGTTGTGAGTTTTGAAGGTCATTCAAAAAACTGAAATATGTCGTTGCAACACAATGTTGTTAAAAAATGTAACTGGCAGTGAGTGAAATGCTTTTCACACAACGTTTGAAAAGTCATCATTGTGAATCATTAGCTGTTAACAGCTGTGAGCTGTTAATATGATGTCATTACTGTAACACCTCATAATGGACACCCCATAATGCCTTGCCATCCAAGATGGCTGCCATATTGTCAAAGTAGTCCATTGGTCTATTGTATCAATGCTACCGACAATATTTCTTTTTATGTTTGCTATAGGATAGCCATTTCTGAGTTCCATAAACATGATACATATAACAATATAAAAAAGAAAAGAATTTTGTACTAAAACAACAGAATTTTGTACTAAAGCCAGAGCACAATACAATATGTTCACTATCTCAGCAAAGGTCTGGTGACGTCTGTATGCAACCTGGCTAGAGCTAAGCAAATGCGTACATACATACCTGAATATCCAGGTTGACAGTCACATGACAATGTCGTAGCATTACATGTACCATGAACACAAGAGTATGTACATGTTGATACATTACACGTAGGCCCACTCCATCCTGGCTTACATGTGCATGTTCCAAGAGAGTTGCAGTTGCCATGGAAACTGCATGTTGATGGGCATTCTCTTAAAACACTGTTAGGAAAACGTAAAGTCAAAGTTCATGTCACGCTCAAAAATCTATACGATCAAACTGTGTCTTACAGACACCCACTTAATATAGAGTCATCACTATTTAACAGACACTTGTCACATGCTGAATATAACCAATTAGCACATACTAACTTGTGTACTTCCTAAGAATATGCACGCTCATTGGTTAATTGGAGGTGAATAGTGTACGATATTCACCTCTGAATCTCGGAATATTGAGTCAGCAACGAAATGTCCATTCCTATCAATGCTAAAAAGGCAACCAAGTGTGGCCTAAAAGTTGAATTTAATTTTTTTGCTGGTCAATTTTCACAGGCTTTATGACACCTCAGTTTTGCAGTGATGTCATTTCTACGTCACTATTTCAGATCAGTTGAAAGACAAAAGCTAGAGTAAGCATTGGTAGTTTAAAAAATAGACATCAGTTTTTTATGTGTCTGTTCTCTTATTGATGATAAATTGCGTCATCACATTGTCAAAGTAGTGTGGATCCATGAGGCGTAGCTGAGTCCGAGTGGCTCTGCATTCCACTTTGACAATGTGATGCCAAAAGTTATCGTCAATAAGAGGACAGACACATAAAAAACTGATGACTAATTGTTTTTTACAATAACAAAAACAATAAAAACTTCTCATTTTTAGCAATCAAAACAACCAACAGAAAGAGCGTGCTCTCATTGACATCAGCCTTATCTGTCTGTACTCTTATTGATGATAAAAAATAACCAATCAGTGTGCGAGAAATTTGTAAGTTATTGTAAAATAATGCATTTTTGGTTGTGACTCACCTATATTTGATTCTAAATCCATTATCTTTAATATGTTTATCACTGTAGAAACAGATGTATACTGTATTTGATGAAGACCTTAGTGTTCTGATTGGACTTTTTAATGTTTCAATGCTGCTGTTGTCTCTTAAAACACCACTGTTGATAAATGGGAGATTTTGAATGATTTTATAAATAATGAAAAACATGAGGATGGAATGAATGATTGGTTCAATTCAAGAAAGGAAGGAAGGAAGCAGGAAGTAATTAATGGATAAAAACGGAATGAAAAAAATGAATGAAAACTACAAGGCATAAATTGAAAAATATGAAAATGAAAAAGGATAGATGAACGAACAAATGAATGAATGAATGATAAAAGAATATTTAAGAGGTAGATTTTCTTGGCTAATTCATTATTAAGTATATTAATTATTACACTATTAAATGTTATACTGCTTCACCTCAAATATTGCTACAGCAACATTCAAACCACCTCAAGTGTGAAAACGTAGCTGGTTATTAATGACTTTATTTTTGGATTCTTTAACCACCGCAAGTGTTAACATGCAGAGGTAATTAATGACTTTCTTTTTGGATTCTTGATTTTTTTATTCCATTCAAACATTCATCATTTAAAACAAAAGTCTTTTTTATATGTTTTGTTTTCATTAATAAATGTTTGAATCAAATAATGAAATCAAGAATCCAAAAATAAAGTCATTAATAACATCTACATGTTCATGCTTGAGGTGTTTGACTATAGTCATCAAAGTTTCAAAAAGTTTATTTATTTCCACACAAAAATGAAGTAAACTATAATATTATAAGATTAATAATGAAAAATACACCAAAACAGGTAGAGCGTGGATTTGACTCGTCAAAAAGCACTTGTTTTACTCTACATTCCTAAAGCTCCATGCATACATTCCTGAGCACTCAGGAATGTGTGAACGAGACATTACGAATGTGAAGGAAAACAAGTGCTTCTTGATGATTCAAACCCACACTCTACCTGTTTTAATACAAAGGGTGCAAGAGAAAAACCCTATGCATGGGTTAAACAAAGCTCTTGCAGCCTCTTAACAATGAAAGAGAATACTTAATATACAAACTGGAAGAGATGACAATTTTTCTTTCTCAAACTCATTACTAATTCATGAGGAAAACACAACAGAAATCACCACCATGAAGAGTGTTGTAAATCTGATACAAAATTGTGTTCATTTGCATAAACTTTAAGTTGGATTTTCTTCGCCAGATTCACATTAATTTTGAAAATTTTAGTGAAACACAAAGGAACTAACCTAGACGTTTGACAAGCAATCTACAGTATTCATGTCCGTGTTGTATCCAATATACAAACTCTCGGCTATGCCACAAGTTAGTATATCTGATACAACACAACCACTCATACTGCATATGTTACTTATAAATTTAAATAGTAAGAATAAACATGCTTAAAAATTTATTAGAAAGTACAAGATTAGTTCCCAAATGAATCTGTAGTTGTTACTAAATGCATTAATGATAAAATCTAGGCTCAAAATTAGTTTGATTCAATTACCTGTATGCTGCTAGCAAAGGTGCTTGTACTGAGGAACCATCGTACACATATAAATTGTCCCAGCTACACTCTGTAGCAAACTGTTCTAAGCTAAGCTCTATGCTTGAATTGGGGCTGCCAACAAAGACAACAAAAGTCTTGATCAATATAATTCTATCAATGATAGAACTGTTAGAAAATTCTTACAGTGTGACTACTTTAACCGGGGCCACCTAGAAAGCAAGAACCAATCAAATCATAGAATGAAAACAATACCATTTTTGGGTAGTGGAGCCAATCAGAAAGCAACAGAAAACGACAGAATTTCAACACATCTTTTTTATAACCATGAGAAAATTACGTTGCAGTAGTAGCACTGTAGAAATAACAATGTAAGAGGAAGAAGATTGTGATTGTGTGACTTGACCATACATTGTGGGCGACTTGACCACGACTCTCGGYGACTTGACTCCAGGTGACTTGACTTTGGGCGACTTGACTCTCGGGCGACTTGACCGGATAATGTATAGATACCCTGCAGCTTATAACCTGCTTGATTCATAAAATCCTCTAACCCTCAAAACCTTCACTGATCGTATTTGAATTAATCATGTGGAGTTTTGTTTGTTAGACTTTCCTTTACTCCTTGCACCAGACTAAACAGATGTTCTACTTATGATCATATCCTTAATGTAGATTTTATGACAGATACTCACCTTTTGGACTCTATGAGCCACATGCATGTAGATGACACTTCATATTCTCCTGGGCCATCAGTAATAACTCCGCTATCAGCTGTAAGCCTGATATAAAAAAAAACCATTACGTATTAAAAATAAAGGCCTTTTTTAGAGATAAGTGAGTTTGATAAGAAAAGTGTAGAAAACGTCTGCACATCGTCTACGTTTATGAATATCCAAATTAGTCAAAATGTCATTGCCATTGTTTCAGCCAATCAAAAGTAAGATAGGGAGTAAAATGACTGTATAATAATCATATTACTGTCTACACTTTATAACCCACTGTCATTCATAATTAAAGCTAATAATTATTATTGGAAGGAAACACATTGGAGTGTTTTATCCTGTGAAAATATTTATTATTATTATTGGCATATATGTAATAGGACTCCATGCTGTCCAATTAAGAAATATTCAGACAAGGAAAATTCCGAGGACTGACAAAATTGAATGAAGTCGTAGGCCAAGTCCAATTTGGCAGTCAGAGGAATTTTTCAAGTCTAATTATTTCTTGATTGGGGAGCATGAAATTCCCATTACCTATTAATTATTTAGCTGCCTAATTAATCCCATATCAACAAGACCTGTCAAATTAAGAAAATAATTGGACAGTTACCTATATGGGTTCAATGAGAAGCTGTATAATTATTATTATTATCAATATTATCATGGACACTACCAACCACTATGATCATCATTGCCACTATCACAAATACTATCTTAACCATTACCTATTACTAAGTATCATGTTCATTGACATTACTATCATTATAATTTAAACCCTATTCTACTTTAACCTTCATCTAGATTATAATCATCTGCAATTTAACCCCACTTAAATGAATACTTCTTAAATATAGAGATCCTGTTATTGTCCTTGTATTAGCTAAGTTGTAACTGTATAATTATTTATTACTATTTATCAGTATTGCCACCACTATTACCATTACTACTGTCATCATCATCTAAACCAAACCACCATCTATTACATTGATTTAACCTTAACATTTTCCAATATCAGACCACATGCCATTCCATTGAGTATTCCCTTGAAATTGCTGAAATTCATACCCTGTTCCAGAGCAAGATCACTGAAAATCATGCCCTGTTCCGGTGTTGCGAAAATGGATACCCTGTTCCAGAGAGGAGAGAGAGTGATTTCACATACCCTGTCCCAGAGCGAGCGCAACTTTATATACCCTGTTCCAGAGTAAAATCGCTGAAAACCATACCCTGTTTGGCAGCACGTACCAGTATATGGAATGTAGGTGAGTAACCCCCTCCCCCCGGGTATTCCCTAGCCTAGATTTTGCTATAGCTGACGACAGAATGATGATATTGGAGGTTATAAGAATTGTATAAAAATAATATTTCTATAAATGATAATTTTAGAAATTGTTTCTAAAACAGAAACATGAAACTCAACCTCTCTAACTGATAATAAACTTTTTTGTCCAAGGCATTAATTAACCATTAACATAAACTTTATAAACATATTTTATAAACAGTCAATTTCGAGGTCTATAAAGCTTGTGTTACTGTCAATAATTCATGTTTTGTCTGGAATTCAAAAGATAAAAAATATACACCCATACAAAATGATATGGTCAAAGGAAATTAGTACAGTACAGGAAATAAAAGACAAAGGCATAAGAGAAAGAAAATTTAAGGATTACGAATAAGCTCTAAATAACAAACTGTTGATGTCAGTAAAAAAAAATGTGCTGAAGCGCCAATGCTCTTATTGAAAAACCTAAAGGCATTTCTAGAATTTCATCACTTTGAGAATAAGGATCGTCAAACAGACCTTTTCTGTCGACGTTCATTCATATACCATATGGCTGACAGTCTTAATTGAATATAACAAACAGTATAAGGGAGCACAAGGTTTTCATTTGCTTTCTTATTATCACAACACGACATTCACGGCGTGTTGAATGTGCAGGAAAAGTCAACATATTTTCCCCTCGTTCGTTATACTTAACGCTTCCGTAAATATTCAAAATAGGAAAAGGAGAACAAACCCTCTTTCTTAATAAACAATATCCTATGTTTTTAATTGTGAAAAAAAAAAAGAGATAAAACTGCTATGCTTTTGATGTAATTTCCTTTGTGAAGAAATCAAGAAGATTAACTACGTTGCCCTAGTTTTACACCTTTACAACGACAAAAATAATATATTAAAGTAGTCAGACATTCTTTCAAAGACTCTAAAGAGTTAGGCACGCCTTCTGTGCTTTTAAAATGAGGTCGAAGCCCAAGTCATGGGGTTTACGTTAAGGATTTTATGAATGCAGAATAAAATGTTCAAAACATAATCAGTATTGGCCGGGGTATTGGTGACCTGTAATATTGCGAGTCGTTGCTCGAAGCTCAATAAAGAAATTATTAGGTTTCTTCTTTTCATTAAAGCGGCATACTTATTTTTTCAATGGAGATTTATTTCAATTTACTGATGATAGTTTCTTTCTGTGAAAAATTTAGGCCAAAGTAACCAACCTTTGCCGACAGAACTGGCAGCGTTCTCCAAACCATCCGTCTTTGCAAACACAAGCGCCCGTCAAACCGTCGCAATGGCCCCTCCAGCAAGTGCATTTGCTTTTGCTTTTACCCTCCAAAAGAATCACGAGAGATAATATACAGACTATTACTACAAGAAAGGTGGTTTTTCTCGATCTACAAACCACAAACATGGCGACATGGCTTCCCTTGTCGTTGGATGGTGTTGTCTGGCTGACCCGCGGGATTTTCGCGGGAAACGCGGCAACGTCTGTTATATAGCATTTTTTCCTCCTAATGATTTTCTCATCCACAATCCCTAGCACGAAGAGGGAATGAGCTAGATTTAGGTTAGGAAATAGAATATCTGCAGCATGGCACTTAATTGTTTTACTAATGCCAGAATTCCTTAACCAGGGACCACAGAGCATCTTTGAAAATGCTGTGTGTAAGGGGGGGGGGGGGGGGGGGGGGCAGTTTACATATACTGTTTGAGTTTGAGCACTCAGTTGCTCAGTTGGGGATGGATTAAGATAATTTTTACCTGAAGATTATGAAAAATAATTCTCAAATAAGTGACTAGGTCTGGTATGAGACTGAAGAGAAAACCCTGTGCCCAACATGCCTGCCTACTGATATGTTGAACAAATTAAAAATTTCTTTCTTGTGGGGCATTTAGTAAACACTAAATTCCTAAGGGCAACCCTCTTTCCCTCCCCCTATCTATGCACATGATCTATTTAACCTACAGTATCTTGGTACATTGATTCAAGCTTCAGGGGAGGACTCAAGACCCAGTACGGAAGATAGAAACTCGATCTGACGACCAGGCCCAATGGGGGTGACTCCAGAGTAAAAGTATTATAGGGGTAAAAAAAACATTATTCTCCTTTAAAGTTTCCTGCACCATCTTGAAAGGTATTTGTGCCTTTGAATCAAAGAAAGACAAACAGTGAGCGGGAAATGGTAGAGACATGAATACTTGTCCAAGGTGCTAAAAAAAGGTCTCTATCATTGCAAGCTCACTATTTGTCTTGCTTCAAAAATTATGCAAAGGTATGACTACCTTTCAAGGAAGGCATAGGGAACTGTAAAGAAAAATGTTTAGTATATTTTGGGGTGGTGTTAAAATAAAAAATTTTGAATTTCACAATTTCTTGGTATCTTTTAGGGTATCTCTTATGGGTAAAAAATCATCTAACCACGCCCAGGATATCTTTAAGGAGTAATTTTGAAAATTTCCAACAAGCCTATGCAATACTTTAACCCCAGAGTTCTGCCTGGAGCACCAGGCTCCAGACCTGGGAATATAAAGGCTTACAGACCCAGAATGGGAGACCAAAGACTAATGGGCTTAACATCGATCATTGAGCCCCAGGTTGCACATACCAGTCCTAACTGAACTGCATGTTTGAGTCGCGTTTGATGTGTGGTTGTTCTCTTCCTTGAAACATGGGTTTTTTGCCAGATTCCTCCCTCCATAAAATTTAACAAGTTATCATGATTTGAATGTAGTAAAAAAATCATCTAACCACGCCCAGGATATCTTTGAATGTAGTGGCCATGGTAGTGCATGTGGAGTAATCCTCATGGAAGAGCCTATTAGAGGGAGTAATAGTAATGTTCTTGATGTGTATATTATATAGAGTCTAATTTGTCTTTTGGTATTATGGTCGTCACTCAGCCTCTTCATAGGGAATGAAAGACATTATTTGCATCACAAGTCACCCTAGAAGCCACTGCAAGTGATACTACCACAAATGGGAGATTGCTATCCAATATAATAAACGAATTGAATTGACAAAACTAATGTTTAATATTTACAATAAAATCTTTATTTAATAATTTTGTCAGGCACAAATCAACCCTTTTTTTGGCAGTCATAAATTATATTCTTTAATTTCAGTTGATTACAAACAAATAAGAAAATAGAATTTGTGAATTTAATGCTCAACTGTACAAAATCTGCAATCCCTTGGGCTTTGTTATACTTATAAATTACTGAACTACTTACATATTCTTATCTACAAGAAGTTGACCTTCAAAAATTGTAATAAATAGTTAATTAGTCACTCTTTACTTAACCTGTGAAAGTGAGAAAACTAATTAGACAAAGAGAACAATGATACTGGCACTAAAATTAATGCTTTAAAAATTATATATTCTCACAGGTTAGATTATATCGCTCTGCAGAACTATTAATCGATAATAAATCAAAAATATCTACAGATTTTGATTGAGGTCAAGGTAAACGCTTTTAAGCCCCAAATTATATAAAAAGTTTTGAATTTGAGGATAACCATATTATTGTCATTACCTATAATTTATGACTTTTCTTCAATATAGATGTACCTGACATGTATTGAAGTCAACAATGAACAAACAATTATTTTCATAACTGTATAAAATGATTAAATATAAGTTAGAAATATTAAACGTCAAGAATTCATGATAATAGTGGATTTTGTTCAGGTGTGATATCAGGGGCCTGACAGTGATAGGCCTTGATCAGTGCACCTTCTTTTGCTGTTCAATTGCACACGTACTATAAAACTAAAATCACGCTAAGGGCAGTTCCAGAAATTAAATCATCTCTTAGGAAGCAGAAGTTGGAGTATTTAGCCAATTACTGGATCAACCCTTAAATGCATCTATGTCTGCACAGTACTACTCCAAGCATGATGGCATTAAATATATATCACACCAACAAAAATTTACTTTTCCACTACTATTAATATTGATAATAATAAGTATTTCAATATTGTTCATGCAACATTTTATAACTGTATAAATGCCTAAGCCAAAGTACAAGATATTTTCATGCATGCATGTTTGCACAAAACAACATGGTCTATACCACCAGCAAACTAAACTCCATATAAAAATTAAGCATTCATAAAAAGGTGCATGACCTGAGAAAATAAATCATTAATATCAAACTTCATATTACTACTGTTGATATTGTAGATATAATATTATAACTTACTGTTATTGCCAGCACTAAATAATTTTGCAACACAATCCTTGCTAAAAACCTTTTAATATATCAATAATAATATTATTATTCACCCTTTGTAAGGATGGCTTTCATTTATTGGGGCCTTTGTTTGAGGAAAGGGAAAGCAAAATTTAAGAGTACAAAAATCATACATTGAAAAAATCCAAGGGATGCTATCGATCTTTGTAAAAAAATAAAAGTTTTGGTGTTGGCAAGGGTTGCTATCGAATTACGCAGATTTTATGTCACACATCAATTAATTTGGTCTAGAACCCTCCCTACGTGCCCCAATAATAATGAAAGCCCCTTACTATATGTAGCCCACCCAAACCTTCAAATGGCAGCTTATTATTGTGCAGTACCCTAAAAATATATATTTATACTAGCTATATGTCAACCCTCTCCACACACATAAAGCACTCAAAAAATGCTCTATAAATACTGTTTTTGGAAAAATAAATTTCATCATATACCAAGTTTTATCAAATGATTTTAGGGTCTATTTTGTAAAGACAGAATTGTGACATTAGTTTATATCAGTAAAATGTATTTTTACACGTAAATTACCGGTAATATTTTTGCCAATCATTAATCCAATATTACTAAACTGTAATTTCATAAATATAGTTTGTTCAGAACACAAATAAATTCAACTTGTCCCAACAGCTCTTACTTATTTGTTTGCAATTACCCACAGGTAAACAATGTAGAAAAATTAAAAACTGTTTTTTCCATAATCTTTGTCCAATTTCTTAAAACTTTGTGTATTACCTCTCTTTCCATTGCTATGTGCTGATCAAGACAACGGTCACCACAAGGAAATTGGGCAATACACTTCCATCAATCAAATAAATTGGTTTGTTCCTTTATGTTTTCTGATTGGCGGCAGTGTGTTGCTCTATTTCCCTGTTGCGACTGTTTCTTGATCAGCGCGTACTAGCAGTAAAAAGAGTGGTAATAGAGGTAGACTCAAAAATTGTGTCTTTACATAACATTGTATAACAATTTATTTTGCCATAATTAATTGATTGTGCTTCTGTAAGTATACTATGATGTGCACATTTTAGGCTGCCACAGATTGCTGGCATTGCATGATAAAATAAATCCCCTTTCTTCTTGAACCATTTCTTTCTTTGTGATGGACTCAATTATTCCTATCATGTTTCTCTCACAAACACACAATATATACTTCTCTCACACAATCTTAAACTTGTTCTGATAATATAACAAATATTAAATGCAGACTAGTATTAAACAATTTACTCCTTATCATGATCAAAATTTTGCCCATCATCTACCTTCAAGCACTATTAATATATATTTATATAATTTTTTCCCACATGAAGTGCATTGTTAGCACGGGATGCTCTTTGGTAGTCAAGCATGGATGGTTTTGTTTAATCAGATGTTCAGTTGTACATCCACACCTTGATATCCTGGGGTTGCATTGGCGGTTGCCTTCAAAACGGACTCGACAAATGCACTCAGGTGACCAGCAACAACTTGTTCACCTACATAGACAGCAAGGAGAAAAGATGTTTGTAAAACATCATTAAATTTTTGGGATCTTTCAGGGTTTTTTAGAGTTACTAAGAAAGTTGGAATGCACTTATTTGTTTACCAGTTAGGGGGTTGGAACAAATTTATGATACCCCGATCCTGGCTATGCTCAAGTGCCCACCCAAACAATGATAGTTTACCCAATGTAATATAGAAGGTCCAATCGACAAACTCTGATTCATCAGATTTTTTAGTAGCTATCGATTATTTTCTTAATGTACCTTTAGAATGCATTAATTCTAAGACAAACATTTATGATTTTCAGCAGCCGCTGCCTGTTCCATGCTGTATATCAAAAACACATTTTAGCTTGTCCGACTTAGCAACAGTAACTAGGGAGGTAGAACAATGAATACTGGATCGGTGTATTATAATATTGAAGAATATATAGGCTTTAGATAGCTAGATACTAATAAAAACATTTGGCTAAATTCAAATAAAATAGTAGAGCAATGAAAACCTGCATTTTAAAATTTAATGGGTAGCTAATAATCACTGATTACTGGAAAAATTAAATATATAATACACTAAAACGCCAATATTTTCTAGAAATGATTGTTTTTCTTACCTACTGTGGTATGTATCAGGCTTTCCACCTTGTTACTTAGTTCGCCACTAACTGTAAAACCTTCTGTGTCATGGAGAATCTCTTCTTTGACTTTGTCGATCAACGAAACCAGCCGTTCTACGTAAGAAATGAAGCAGAAATTTTCACATGAGTATTTTAGACAAATATTGCTTTAGTAATCTGTTATAAGTTTCTTGGAACAATGAGAATAATTTATCATCTTGGAGCATAGGTTTAAAGTTTTATTTCACAAACTATAAGCATTCCTGTGTGCAAAGCCAGACGATAAAAGCTTGTGGAATCTTTTAAATGCTTCCTAGGGGTGAATAGACCGTGACAATTCGGGCAATATAAATCAGGTCCACAAAAAAACTATAAAATAATATTTGCTATATTATTGTTGGTATCCTGCATGATCAAAATGTTTCTAAAGAAATTCATAAAACTTTAAAAATGGATAATATACATGCATTTTATGAATCGACATCATATGATAACATTCATATATAATCATATAGATGAATTTGTGTTTCAATAGCAAAGTGAAATTGTCTCTGTTGTGAAAAGCATGCATAAAAAAATCATACATAGCAAAGAATATTCTAGAAGCAAAGCTGATTATAGATAATATTATACTCACGTCGTTCCAGCTCCAGGCCATGTAACTTTAGTTTATTAGATTCATGCTGGGCCTTCTTCTTTAGTCGGCATGCCCTGTTGGAGTAAATACCAAAGAATAGAGATTAAATTAGCACTCAAATGGAGGGATAATTATGGAAGAAAACAACTGCTGTGCATGAGAGCATGAAGCACATAATTCAATACATGACCTTTCAGGAACCCAAATGGGTCATGTCTTCAAAAACTTTAAATTTTCGATTTTTTCGATTGTTAGGTTTTTGAGATAATGGCATATAATGACTTATTATATTCGTGAACATGTACTAAACATTTAAGAGGGCCAAGATTAGAATTGTTATTTAAAAATATTGAATTTCTAAACATTTTCAAATTATTAAACATTTGAGATAAAAATATTTTTTAAGAAGAAAAACCAGACAACAACAATAATTTTTAAATTGTAACAAAAGATTGATGGTAAAGAGTTCACATTTTTCAATTTTTTAAATACCAGATACTAAAGTAAATGTCTATTAACTATGTTCCATTGTGCTTATATATAAACTCTCATTCCTTTGTCTAGACATATTTGGAATATTTTTAGTATATTCTATATAGAATATTATTAGTTTAAATTCTTGAAATGTAAACACATGAATAAATGTATGAAGTTATCGTACCCTAATGGATCTCCAGTGATATTATTATTTATACATTTGGAATTTTTGTAAATAATAGTAAGATGTTAGAGTGAGTATATAGCTGGTCATGTTAATACAAATTTCAGAAGAGATTTTACACACACCAGTAAATAGATTTTTGCTAATGATTCTTTATACTTTAAAATCTTTAAAATTGTGAACTCTATAATTAAGAGACATGGAACTTTCCAACATCTTTTTAGGAATCTAATGCAAACAATTTAAGCTCCTAAAAAGCTCACTTTTAAGATTCAAATTGTCAACACGACTTAACTTAATTTCAATGCTTATCTTAAATACCTGCAGGAAACCTATTGTGTTCACAAAATACTTTTTTTCATAAAAATTATAAAATAGAATTGAAGAGAATAATTATTTATCTAAGAAAAATCACAAAAAGGAACACTTTGACATGAACAATTAGTTCCTTGTTGGCCAAATAAAACCATCTTGAATCAGGAAGTAAAATTATTTTTGTTATTTGACTAAAAACGAAAACAATAATCTTGTTTGGGAGCAATGCTCAATGTATTTTTAAAGAATAGCTATTTTGGAAAAAAATCTTGTATAGGATAGGATGCAAATTGTAAAAACATGTTTGTGTTAGCAACAGTCCACAATGAGAAGAATATATTGAAAAATACGAAACATTTTTTTAGCTTCAGGGTATGTACGTATGTTAAACAGCTGAAAAATCTTTCTAACAGTGTATCCACACAGAAAAGAACTTTCTAGATCATAAATGCATAAAAGCTGAGAAAACTAGAGATGAATGGAGACAAAATGGAATAATGAGAATGGATGGGAATGGGATACATCTTTTCAAAAAAAAAACACTATATAAATTCGCAAAATTAGGAAAAAATAATGAAAAATGGCAATACAGGTTATGGTTTAATAGAGGCCGAAACTTATTGTTACATAACGATCGTCGAAAACGAAAAAGAAAGACGAACTTTAAAGCACAAATAAACAGCGATCCTTGAAACAAGAATTATTTCAAAATATTACAAGATAACGCTTATAGACGAAACTAAAAAATCTAGCTTTACAATCCTAGAAAAGATAAATCCATAGATAAAAAAAGGGCTCCCTTGAGAGTTTCACCTCGAAGGTAAACAAGCTTGGCAAACAATAAAATTAGATAAAGGTCCAAGGTGACAGGGAGCACAATCAAACATGTACTTCTTATTCTGATATCTTGTACAAGAATTATTCAAATTACCTTGATGCTAGCTTGTTTTTCTCCTTTTTAGACTTATTCCTTGCAGACATAGGAAGGCTGTGAATTGGTTTAAGTTCCGTAATGATTTTTGTTAGACGGTTGAGTTCTCTTCCAATCTCGAGTAACCTTCGAGGATTGGGGCTCAAGTCTTCAACATCACCCCTTCGTCCTTTTCGTTGTTTTGCATTACTTTCACCATCATTGGTACAACGAGGTTCCTCAAAATCCTCATCACTGTCTATATCTTCATCGGCAGATTCTTCTTTAATCACAGGCAGTTCTTCCTTATTTCTTGCACTACTGCATATTTCGCTCGCAGATTCATCGCGCGATGAGGTCGACGACAAATCCAAATGATTTCGCTGAATATCCTTAGCATAGTCCACAATAGTTTGACCAATTGACTTAGGCTCACTTAGAGCAGTTCTTCTCATGAGCATTGGATCTTTTTTAAGCTCAATCGTGTCGTCCTTATGTTCCGTGCAAGTTGACGAGGTTACCATTTGAGTCCCACTTTCCAACTCACGACTTGACTTCAAACTTTTGTCTTCCTCGCCTGGCAGCGATCTACCACCAGACATCTCCCCGAAGAAAGCCTTTCCATTATTTTTACTAGTAAAAAAACGCCGATTTTCCGTGTTTAATTCTCGTTCATCCGCATTATATTTCAACAAGAGATGCGACCCGTTTCTTGAGGAGCTCGTTGGCTCTGCTTCGGTTCTTGTTGCTATTCGATGTAGTCTTTCCATCTCAGGATTAATCAACGGAGACGTAGATCTCTGATTATTCAACTCTGCGAGAGTTGGGCCTTGGCTTTTACAATCAAGATCATTGAAATCAGACTTGAAAAACTCTTGTTCCATCTCCCAATCTGCCCCGAATGGCGAGAGCGATTGGAAGTCCTCCCAAGGCTCGTAACATGTTGATTGTTGAGAACTGTCCGACAAAGGACTTTGTTCAAATGGATTTGATCCCTCTTCATATTCCAGAATGTCCCTCATAGAGGTATTTCCAAAAGCATTCTCCACTTCCAAAGGAAGCTGAAAGAACAGAAAGAATTATGTTAGGACTTTGTACCCAAGAAAATATTACACAACTTTACACAAAAACGAACAGAACTACTCATAGTGCGACCATAAAAATAAGTTAATCTAATATTTTTCCGAACTTACCGGAGAAAATCCTATTGTCTTATGCATAAACTTTTACTTTTTTTCTTGGAACTTTAGAAAAAACCTTGGAATTTTTAGCTTTAAAAGCAGAAACTGTTCGAGCGATCCGTAAAGTTTGTTTTGTTATTGTTTTTTGATATGGTGCCCAGAATCACGAGACTTCCTAAGTCATTAGAATTGACCGTCAGCCAATCAGAACCTCGGCCTTGGCCGAAAAACACGCCTACTCGGATTTAGCGGTGAGGATGTAAAATCTAACCATTCGAAGCATTTAGCAACTATTTCGATCGGAAAAACCCACAAATCCTTAGAAAGAAACCCTATATCCCTCACTACAGATAAATAAGATACTAAGGGTATCAAAATCCGTCGAGAAATTATGAAATTACTTCCCAGAAGTCGAAGAAATAGGCGAATGAAAAGAAACAGGATTACTCCGGTTTTTGCTATACGTAGAGATCTATTTTTAGCTTCTCCAAATATGGAGGACAATTAAAACACACCCCCAAACTGTCCAATGGGAAAGAAGTAAATTCCCGTACTGACGTCAACGCAGACAGTGGGATGTTCGGTTTATCACGTACTCATTCGTGTATCTGCACCTAACGATTAAATACGTGCGATTCGATTCCTTTTATGCTGAAACCTGTTTTTCCGATACAATCTAGTTTTCCGCTTTCATTGTCCAACATCGCTAAGAGGGTGAAAAAGAAAAGTTAAATGAAAATTTTGTTCTACATTTTCAAAATAGTTTATAAGCAGCCCACAGAGAACGTCATAAGAGATTGCAATCATGACTCAGCAAATTTAGAATTACAAGAGATTTTAAAAATGACCATGATCTGTAAGGTTAGAGGTTAGAAAATAATTATATGAGGGTAGGAAAAAGTAAATGTAGATTATATAGTATTTTCAAATATTTATTAACACACTATTCATTTTCTCATTCAGAACTCTGTTTCTGGTTGGTTTTGTTATACACTTATTTCAATAAAGTTAGTCAACTGAAAATCTACAAAGCTGAGACTGGCAAGGATTATGGGTAGATACATTTTACATGTTTGAACCGCTTGATAACTGTTGATGGACTTGAGATCTTCTACCAGTTACAAGTTAACCTCCTCTGAGCATCCTCAACGGCTGTAGTTTTGGTCAAAAGCTTTACTTGTTGGATATAAAACATTTTCACGTGATTCTCAGCGATCACAGCTTTCTTGGTTTTTGGTGACTGACTTTATTGAAATAATTATATACACATACCACTGTTTCCATTGCTATGCACTGATCAAGACAATAGTCATGTAATTTGGCAATACACTGTTGTTAATCAGAGTATGTCAAGGTACCAAAAAATATTACTAGAGTGACAGTAGTCTACTGCCAGATTTCCATAATTACTGTTGACTCAATCAGTGAAAACTGTTGCAATATGCAGGAGCATTGTCATATAAAAATAAAAAATACATTAACAAGTAGGATTTTTTTTTGAGTTAAACTAGTGTCAATATTTCACTGTTTTGAAGGTAAAGACTGACATTTTTGATATTATGACAGTTATTTTCATCAATCTAGGGGTTTTTTTAAAAGAATAGAAACTTTTAAAATATTATTTCTTTTTTTCTTTTATTATTATTATTTTTTGTTATATTTTTATATGACAACATTATTGCAATATATGTCGTATGTCATATTGTATTATCTATTTCTGAAAAAAATTCAAAAATACTTTTTGTGAAAGGAAAAAAATCTACTTTTTTTATCGATTTTCAATAATTTGAATGTCATGAAAAAAACTCAATGTCCCCCTCCCCCTCAGTGTCTTATTGTCTTCTATTCATCGTCATTGATATTTGTCTTCAAAAAGGGTCGGTATGTCAGCGAATTTTGTATTACGTAGAAATCTTATCTACTTACCAAGAAATGTAAAATCCACCACTTCGTTACGAAATAGCCTCATTCGGTGTATGGAAAGAAAATTTGTGCAGTTTTTGCAGAAATAGCAAAAATAGATCCAACGAGAAAGGTTCCCTTGGTCTTGACGACACTGCCGGCCAATGCAGAGAAAACGGTTGAGCCAACTTGAGCAAATAACATATTTTTCCTCCATGTAATTCTAAATAACTTGAAAGAGGCCTTTGTAGAATTGTATATATCATATTTAACGTGGTGGATAAATAATTTAAGCTGGAATAGCCGAGAAAAATGAGTGTCTTTTAGATAGAAGCTGACACACTAACCATCCAAACGTCGCTCGTCAACACCCAACACCAGCTGAGCCCACAGCACTTCTCAGCGGTATCCAAAGTCACGACAGTTAAAGTAGCTCGAAGCTTTGTTCCATAGCAACCGTTTTCTGCTTTTAAATAGAGTGCTCGCACTAAACCCGTGAAACTAATACTAATTTTTAGCACTAAATAGTGATAGCTAAACAATAGAAAACAAAGGATTCTGTATGAAATAGTACTAATAATTAGTACTAATTATTGTGCACGGGTTTAGTGCGTGCACTGTAATAGTTAATTTAATTCAATTTGAATTGAATTTTAAAAGCTTATAATCAATTTCCTCAGATTCATAGAAAGATGTCTGAGAATTTTTTTAAATGCTTTCATATAATCAATATGCCATTTTTGGGCTAGGGTGGTTTCCAGCTTCATTATGCTAATGAGACTCAATGAGCTCCAACAGGGATTAATGGGAAACTTTACCTTGGAAAATTTAGAAGCTATAAAAAATTCATCTGTCTGGTTAGCTTTTGGTTTGTTTCGACTATGTATGAGGGAAATCATAACCAAACCCCACCTTACCCCTCATAAATCTGCCACTGTAAGGTTAAGTTGAAAATAGACTTTTTCAGAATTTGAGTGACCCAAAAAATGGTTGCAAGTCGAGGTTGGATTTGATAAAATATAGAAAAGGAATGAACACATCAAGTCCAAACTCCACTTGCAGCCATTTTTTGTGGTCACACAATCAAATTTGGAAAAGCTCAAATGGTGTTCCTCAAATAGACCCTTCTGATACAACATGTTATCCCTCCCTGCTCCCAATTCCCTTCCACTTCCCAACTATATTTTAAACGTATTTCTTCATTGGGAGCACACATTGGGATAGATAAGATGAAACAGTTACATGTGTCATTTATTTTTATTATCAAGAACTAGTTTTGCTTCACATTCTCAACAATAATGTCTTCATCATCATGGATTCTGTTATTCTTTTTTTAGTTGATCATTCATGTTATACACCTCGCATTAATCATTGACATCTCCTCCAAAAACTGAATTAAAATATTATGTAACTCTTCAAGAAGTGATAAATTTGATTAAAAACTCTCTCTCAAATATTTCTTTCAAATTGCATTTCTCTAAGATGTTCATCCGTCCTTTCCTGTTTCTTTCATTCCAATTTTCCTCCACTTTTTCTCAATTCAATGCCACTTTCGACTCCACATACTCCATGGCTTTAGTCTTCACATTCTCAACGCTAAGTTCGTCGCCGTATTCGCGTTCAAAGGCCAGATATCGCTTGAAAAAGAATTTCATTTTTCGAGAAGACAAGTTCATGTGAATCACCCTCTCAAAGATATTCCTGCAAAAGAAATTATACCATTAGATGAAACTCCAGTCTTGTCACATTCTGCATAAAACTCCTAGGGTTCTAGGATCGTAATTTCATTGAAAACGACTTTGAAGTTCGAATTAACAAAACGAGATTTGCATGTTCATCAGGATTTGTCATTCAAAATTTTAAAACGTCAAGTTTCAAAGACTCCTGTCTTGCCACTTTTTGAATAGGAAAGACCGTCCGTCCGTCCATTCATTCATTCATTCTTAGTGCTTCAAGAGGCAAATTGATAATGACTAGCATTTACTAGTTGGGACTGTGTTTGTGTTGAATACAACAAGTAAATAAAAAGGAAACAAACGACCAAAACTGACGTCACAAATCCTGAAGGATTGAAAAGCGGCCAGAGACAGAGAAAAGATTGAAAAGCGGTACTTACCTGACAGCCTCAGGGTCGCCTTGCTTGGCCATCATGTCGATATACACTGACCACAAGTCTGATCTCTTGGGGTAATTACTTAACACCTCTTCCATAACTGTCTGGCCTCGCTGAGGGTCACCATGCTTGAATTCCATGATGGCAAATTGGATAACCGTTTCCACGTCTAAGAGTAAAAAAGATATAAATTCCATTTTAAGGGGAGGTAAAAAGGGCTCCGAGCTAATTAGAAGAAAAGGAGACTTTGGAGCAAGGAGCGGTAGTGAAGTTTGTGACATGATTCGGATTTCAATTTTTTACTCCTTTTATTTCTATTTTTTAATTTTTAATTTTTTTAACTCGCAAGACCGGACTACCTGTACCTCACTGCACCCCATGAACTGTCCAATTCAATTAGCTATTTGATTGGTCCACTAAAAAACACTCACGTTTTCTCTTAGGCAAGCTTTTAAGCCCTCGCTGCAGGATTTTCCTGGCCGATTCAAGTTTTCCGTTCTTCATGTAAAACCTGCCAAACTCGATCCACACTTTCTTGCTTTGACTGAATCTCTTGGTCATGCTGTGGAACAGCTGTTCGGCAAGCTGAAGTAGAAAAATATCAAATCCAACCAATATATTAACTATTTGTCCATACAACACTTTCGCAGCTTTTAAATCTGGTTTTCTCTTTGGAGAGAGTCGGCGTCGGAAATAGTTTATCCGTGAAATTTCAAGTGAAAACCGCTCGTCATAAACAGAAGCACAAGCAAAGGCAAACTATCCTATGCCTTCGATTCCGCTTCCGACGCATTTCCGCGACTCCGCGTGAAAACTATGGTTAATAAATCCCATAGAAATAAGTTATTATATTTTTTCCATTTTTCAATGTCGGGTGAAGTAAAGAAATGCCATTTGAAAAACTGGTCGCGGTTTGATGGACTTGTTGTGGATTTGGCGCGAAATCAGTGTCTAACCTACACGCGCGCGCCCGCTACTAAATTACTTGCATATCAATAGTCATAAAATTGGTCCCCACCTCATTCTTGTCTGATTTGGAGTAAATGGTTATCAAATGGAAGAAGACTTTCTTGGGGTCATTGTGCTGCAGTGCTCTTTCGAACACCTTGACTAGAGTATCTTGTGTTCCATACAGGTTTTCAAGGTTCATCAGAGCAACCCAGATGTTTAATTTCTCACGTTCTTCCCTAAGAGATGTCATGTATAGATTATAGCATCATCATTGTTTAATGCAATCGTCACCATCACCATTTCTAACATGATCAACTTGTGAGCGCCATTATCAACATCAGCACCAACATCATCACCATCAACAACATCGTCAGTGTCATCAACATCACCATCATGTCCATCGACATCATCTTCTAAAACATCAACGTCAGGTTGAGAAGCATCATTCACTTCTTACCTAAATGAAATGGTCTTGATTGCTCTTTCAGCAACTGTCCTAGCTTTCTCAATCTCCGTAGTGTGGAGATAAAATGCCATGTACTGAAGCCAAAGAACTGAATTATTAGGAGATGTCAGCACCAAACGATCAAAATCCTCTGCAGACTCCGGGGGACGGTCTTGATCCAGGAGAGCTTGCTCTGTCTAGTGATTACAAGAAAAAATACAATCTTATCAAGCTATCATTATTGTAAGTAAACTTCATTATAAGCCTTCAGCCCCCTCCCTTTCTTAAGTAGTCACTCCTATCTGGCTTTAGAATATTTTTTTAATGTCGTTCCTTAATGTTGACTCTAGAATTCAAATCTCACAGTAAAAAGATTCAATGTGGTCTCAACAACATCTACAGCTCCAGTGTCATACTACATCCTTGTGGGATATAGTGTCAGAAGTTCTGCAAGAATAATACAAAAAAACTTACCCTGTATAAGAAGTCTTCTTCTGCTTTCTTTTCTGCTCTCTTTTGTCTTTTACTCTTCTTTCGTGAAACCTAAAGTTGACATCCACAAGAGAGTTAAAACATCCAACTCAAACGAATGGGAAAACTATAAATGTTATTGGCTCGAAATGTTTACCTCTGCATTGAAAAAGAATTTACCACTTGTAGGGCACACTCGTGCATTAATATAACATATAGTCCAAAAGACATGTATAGATCACATTGGTACCGTGTGTTACCGTACCTGTTCCGCAGTCTCTGTTTCACTGTCACTGCTGTCTTCACTGTCATCTGGGTGATTATCTGCATTATCATCAGCAGCATTCCAATCAAAACCCCCAGAAACCTGAAGAGTAAGAGTAGGAAGGTAATAAGAGGAAAAGTGATGTAAAGAGTCACAAATATCCAGGAATCGGAGAAAAAGGGGGGAGGCTGGGGTGCCTCGGTGTTAGACGAACCCCTATGAATAACCAAAATAAAAGGAGGAGACGCGTCCCCTTGGGCTAAACCCGGAATCTGTTCACCCTTTCATACGTCCAGAGTCAAAGACGGGGATTAAAATACGCACGTTGGATGTCATTGAGTATAATCCTCAACAGCCCCTTGCATCGGTGACGTCAAAGCAGCTCAATTTAGAGGAAAAAACAAAATAATTTTAACCTCCTGAGAACCGTTTTGCCCTCTAAATTGAGCTGCATTCCGAAGTGCCGCAAGGGGTCTATTGCCGCGAGGGATTTGAAAATAGAAAGGTTAAGCATCTCGTTTACGGCAAACGTAAAACTGAATAGTGAATAATATGCAGTATTCAACCTTTTTTGAAATAGCTGTACACGAAAAAGGACGCGGGAAGAAGGTAGAACAAGTACTTTTGTTTTCTCTCATATTACCATCATTACCTGTAATCGTGGAACCGTACTTGAACGCTTCTTGACATCCATATCCTATAAATCACGGAAACATAACAAAAATGAGCAAATCTGTGAGATTAACTGCACGTTGAAAAGAGACAAAGACTCCACCTAGATTTTCCGGTATTAACCGGTCCGATCGCATATTAATCTTACGGCGAAAACATTTTGTCCTTTTCAATGAAAAGTGGTCATATAATAAAACTCTTATCAACCGAGCTTGGTCGGTCTGTACGGTATAATCTTGACCTCGGTCGGGTACAGACCTCGCTGCGCTCGGTCTGTACATTCTAACCTCGGTCAAGATTATCCCGTACAGATCTCCCGCTCGGTTAATAAGATCTAAATATATAATCATTACCACTTCTTCTTCAGACATGTCCTCTTCGTCTTCTTCTTCGTCAGATTCTTCACTTTCAATGTCGGTATCTTGCTTTTCTTCTTCTTCGCTATCTGATTCGCCTGTGAATATCCAAAATCAAGTTTGGAAAACTATAAGTTGAAGCAATGTGAACGATCACTACACCCTCGTTTAATGTATTTATCATTAGATAATATGAATATGATAAAACAGATAGATCGTATTTTGGAGGAATTTTGGCGAATTGCTTAGTGACCCCTAAATAGTCATCGGTCGCTTAATAGAGGTTGGTCGCTTATAAGAGGTTTGGGTTACTAAAAACCTTTGGGACTGTCACAATTGGCCGCTTAATAGAGGTTTGCCGTTTAATGGAGGTATGGCGGAATACTGGAAACCCCTCTTATTTATCAATTGACACGGGTTTCTTTGTTATTCACAAGGCTTTATTTTTGTTATAACCCTCATTATAAATGCGAGGTCAATATATAGTTATTAACCCGGTTAATAACTATATATAGACCGTTCGCATTTATAATGAGCAACATTTGATAGAAAACCTTCTCAATTGATAAATAAAATACTTAATTACCTCGAACGGAGGCAATAAGCCTATACATCCCTCGGGCCTGCGGCCCTCGGGATGTATATGGCTTATTGCCTCCGAGGTAATTAACTCTTACTTTGAGACATTGAAAACTGGTTGCATGATCATAGAGGTTGGTCGCTTAATAGAGTTTCTAATCCCACGATTTTTCGTGGAAAGCTACGGTTCTGAATTTAATGACAAACCTGCTTTGAGTTTCTTAAGCACTGTTTCTTCATCCTCCTCGTCACCATGATTGTCATCCCCATCATCATTAACAGTTTTTAAATCACTTGAACCAGCTGTTCTTTTTCTTTTCTTTGATTTTTCTTTGTCTTTTATCTTTGGGTTTGGTGCAGGGTCTTGTAACCCTGTGTCTTTCCCCTTTAAGGACATCTCCACGTGTCCAGTTGATGGATCAATGCTTTAAACAAACATATCATTATCATCGTTTTTCGGCATTCATTCCATTATGCTGGTGCTAGACTAATAAGCACGTGCAGCTGGTTTGCTCTGGCTGCTCCACTTTCGCCGCCACATGAGACAATAAGCCCGAGTTTCCGAATTGCTTTGTTTAGGAAGGTTTTTTTACAGTCTCTTTTTAGGGTGACCGAAAACGCTGTTTGCTCTGGCGTTGCCAAGATTTGCCGTTCACACGAAACAAAAAGCCGGCATCTTTGAATTGCTCCGCTCATTTGTGGAGCGTTTATAACAACCTCCGCTCAGGGTAACTGAAAATGCTGTTTGTCTTTAGACGCAGTCTTACTTGCCTTCACAGTGGGCGGGACTTTGCTGCATCATTACTAGTATATATTATAGTATAATACTAGTAAATATAGGTGCATTATAATGGGTCTTACCTTAGTATCTTTCCAGTAACGAGTTTACCAAGAGGGAAAAGTGGCTTCCAGTCTTTAACAAAGAAATGTGAAAGATTCTTGATCTGCACACGAGCGACAATGGTGTGAGACAGGCTGAAGAGATAAATAAAACATAAGTACGAGAATACTCAGAATACCCTGACGTATTATGCCTTCGATTTCTGAAAATTCATATCTTCACGAGGTTTTAACTTACTTCCTTCAAACTAAACAGTTTTACAGATTCTAACGTGCTCTTTCCAGCTATGATAATTATTTTCCTTTGCTGTGGGTTTTGGAATTACATGATAAAAGCACATTCACTTATTCACAAAAAGCTGGGTCAGTTGACTGCTTTGTCATTTCCTTTTGCTAAGCATTTGAAAGCCCAGGTTTTATCTGTTGTCTGGCTTTGTTGTAAATATAAAAGACGCTCTTACCTAACAAACACTCCTGCCTTGCCAATAGCCTTGACGTAACCTTTTACTAGGTCACCAACGTCTATGTCTGTTAGATCTTCAATGTCACGATCAATAGTAGGCTGATAATCACCATCATCAACTGAAAAGAAAAGATACCATCCATTTACTCCATATGCCTTGTTCCTATTTACCAGGGAATTCCCCCCCACCCACTCGGCAAAATGACACCAATCTGATGCTGCTCAACCCAGACAAGATATAAGAAAGTGATGTGCTTGATTAACACAACACAGTGATCTTGAAAAATTCAGAATTATATATGGTTTTTTTTTTTCATACCTGTTTGGTTTTTAGTACTTTCCGCTTCCGTCCTAAAAGAAACGAGATCAAACAACAACAAATAAGAAGGAACAACAACAAATGAAGATCGTTTATTTTCCACTTCATGACAATCTTTTTCATGTCATCAAGGATYTCTAACTCACTTGCAAAGGTTATATGATTACCTTTAAAGGTAATTCCCGCTTGTTTATTCATTCATTTATTCATTCAGTTATCCATTCCGACATTCTTTCATTTATTTGATCAAATTCCATTGATCTCGTTCATCCACTTATTTCACTTACCTTGAAGGCCTCAGAGACAAGTCAAAATGTTCATCATCCTTTTGACCTAAGATGTAACACCTAAAAATACAAAAGAATTGTTTATCTTGGTCTCTCTATCACCCTCCTATCCCAGCTTTGCTCCATGATTTTTCACTCTGTTAAATAAAAATMTAATCTGGCTCGTTTGCTTTGCACATCTTGGTCCATATTTTTAGCCCTTTCTTCTGTCCCATACATCTGTGTGCAGTCTGCCATGTTTCACACTGATAACTGAAGCCATGAGCCATTAGATCTACAAAGCTTTCAGCGTGGGACAATCACAAYAGAGCTTGGCTCCAAACTAGGTGAAAGCCCAAAGATCGAATTAGAATTTAGAAGTTGATTTTTGAGGAGGGATGAAAACCCTCGAAGCACAGGAGAGAACTAACAAACAACTCTACTCACATACGACATCGARATTGGCAGGACTTGAACTCGGGCCGCATTGGTGAGAGGCTGCTCATTAGCAGCGCACGCCACTGGTGCTTCCCAAAAGCAAAATCAGATGCAAAACCAAAGATTCTTGCATCCAAACTCTACCATGATGTCCCTTGCTTGCTATCTCAGAAAATATCAATGATTTTTCAGACTAAGATTTAATCAAAACACATACTTACTCGACAATCTGTCTCTCTTTAAACTTCTCTAGTGGGTTTTCAGTATAATGGTCCTGTACGTCTGTCAAGGACACCATACCACATTTATTCAAGGGCAGTTGTACAAAGAGACCAGAGGATGGTTTAACCCGACTGATGCGCCCTGGTACTACCTGACCCTTGCCCAAGGCATCATCTGGCTTATCTGATTCAAGTAAAAATATGTTAAACTCATTTGTAAGTTTTGTTAAGGTTTGTAACTGGGGGGCTTATAACTGGAAGGAAAAAAGTCTAGGATGAAATGGAAACTTTTTTTCATTTCTGTTATCTTCCCATTCAATCTTTTATGTGCATCAACTAAATAAACACGAGATACCTGAGGTGGGCTTATAACTGTTGAAGTGGCCTCACAAAAGTGGAAGGATATTTGTGTTAGCAGACTAGTGGTCATATAACTGGGATTTTAATAAAGTAACCCAACTAACCATGACACTACCCTGTCTTCCAAATTAGAATACTGATTCCCCCTCCCCTGAAACAAATTGCTTTATGTTTCCTTGGGAAGGTTGAAGGTTCTTCATGGATATATCACATACCGGTATGTACTCGGCAGATGTTTGTTAGTGTAGAAAGATATATTCATGCTATGTTAGAGGCATTTGGGGAATAACTTACAAGTTATTGACAGGTCCAAAGCATCATGGGTGGTATCAACACCAATCACATGACAAGTATAGCCATTGCCTTGCTTGAAATGTGCAGCAAGCTTCTTAAGAACCTGTAAATAACATCACAGTGGTGATGACAATTAGTTTTCATTTTTTTGGATAAATGGAAAGTGAATGCAACTAAGTGCTTGTATGATGGAAATCAAGTGCAGGGTGAGTACAATGATTGACAGATAATGGTGATGGTAATGATGATAATGATGTTGCTAATGATGTTGATGATGATGATGATGATGATGATGTTGTTGATGTTGATAAAGATGTTGGTGCTGATGTTGATGATGATGATGTTAATGTTGATGATGATATTTTACTAGGAAGCATCACTGACATGTTTTTCAGAGAGCTCCTTCAAAGGAGGAGAATGTAGGAGAATGTTTTAGGAGCAGTTCTTATTTCTTGTCTGTTTACCTTTATATCAGATGAGGCTTGTAATAACGATAGTCTACCAGTGACTGATGTTGAGACAACCATCCAGACACAATGATCTGTAGCCTGCAAGCATGACAACAAGTACATGTAGTTGTTGATTTACCTTCAAAAGTTATCAAAACCCTTAAACAACTTCTCGACCCACCAAAGTCAGGGCCCAGCTAACTCGCAGGTTAAACTGTTACTTAGCTTGTTTGGTTTTCCAGAGGGAGAAAAACCACAGAACTTAGAAAAAGACTTTAAAATTAGGACCCTATTAGGACCCTATTCATAATATGAGATGCCAAGTTTCAAAATTTAATCTGAGACCCCAGATGTGAGAAGAAATGGCACACAGTCTGAAATGGTAAAACATTGCACCCAAAACAAATTCACAACATTTTAGACAGGGCAAAATGATTGCTTACTGATTTGACAAAAGCAGTAACTTTATCACCAATCTTGTAATCTTCAAGCTTCTTTTCTTTGTATTCTGTTTCAGCAGAGCTTGATGCAAGATCACTAAACAAGATAAAAATAATAATATATATTTAAGGGATATAAAATGCATGCGCATGCCTCTGTACTGTGATATAAACACACTGGAGGCATAATTTCAAGAGTATTTCTTTTGCTTCTTGAGTGCTTTACAGCTCCCAGAGTATTTATATCACAGTACAGAGTCTTAAGCAGCCATTTTATATTTCTTTTATAAAATGTTTTTTAAAAATTTTGCACCAGCATGTCTATGTCCTCTGATATAAACATGGTAGCCAGCCAATCAGCATGTGCATTGTATCTCAAATACATTATAATGAATAATATCAATATGGTTGATGAGTAAATGAGCAGAATTAGTTAACTCAGCCATATTTTGACCATTACCTTGGTTTTAGAGACAGTTCTGCAAATGCTTTACTAAAATTCTTGTGTGTTATTGGAAGAAACCTTTGTAAAGATAAAGTGAGTGGAAATTAAGACACATGAAATATAGAAAACTGAATTAATTCTATTGAAAAATAAACCAAATCTTATGAAAACCTTGAAAAACCTTTCACTGACTCTGTGTCATATCTAAGCAGAGTTGCTTTTTGGTTTTCCCCTTTGCTTCGAGGGTTTTTCTTCGGGCTGTCTGGTTTCCCTCTTTGCGTAAAATCAACTTCTAAATTCCAATTGTAATCCAATTAACTGCYAACTCACATATTGAATTGAAATTTAGTCTGTTGGGTTTTGCGTAGGGAGGAAAACTACAGTACCAAGAACCAGAAAAAACCCTCGAAGCACAGGAGAGACCTGACAAACCCAAAACCCCCGAGGTGAGAGGTGAGTGTACTATTGCTATGTCACCCTTGATTTCCTTTCCTGACACTTACTTGTGAGTTTTGGCATCTCTTATCCCCAAGACTTTCACTTTAATCTTGTCATTGGGATGATATTGTTTTAAGGGAGAGCTTCCCTAAAACGAAACATAGAAGATTTATAATACATGTATGATTTTTTGAAACATTACTGGCTGGTCATGAAGTACACGATTACCCTTCACATGTGTTAACAGCAAAGATCTCAAATTCTTCGCCTAGATAACGCAAGCTCACAAAACATCTTCTCTGATAAATTAAAAAAGGGTGGCAAGGGTCTCTATTTTATCTCATGTGGGTAGGATCTAATATCAATATCCCCCTCTCTACCCAGGACTTACAATAACAGCCAGTCAGTTGCAGGTCAGGGTGTTAGGTTCGTCATACCTCATTTTTAGCTCAATATTACTGGTCAAAATGATTGAAAAGACAAAGACTTGACCCAGACAAGTTCCAAAATCTGTCTGATGACTGGCTGTTACTCTTAGGCTACCTGAAAGAGATATGACTGTTTTCTTGGACTAGTATAACACAGTATATTCTGTACCTTCTCAATGACATCTGCAGCATGACAGATATGAACTCTTCCATTCAACCCAAAATTGTCTAGTTGTACATTCATCTGAAGACCTTTGACAGACTTGACACTGAAAAAAATAACAGAAGAAGAAATTTCAAAACCTTTATCTGTATTTCAATTTATTATTTTGGTTTTAATATTTATATATATATAAATTTCTTCCCCTACCTCCATGATCAATAGRTTCATTTTTCTTACTGCATTGGCATCTTTCTCCATCCCTTCTGCTTTCACATATTCACTCTCTCCTTCCCTCTCTCCATCCTTTCCTCCCTTTATCCCAAACTATCTCCATCCTTCTATCCCTCCCTCCCTCCATCCATCCACTTATTTATTCCCATTTTTCTATCCATTCACTGCATACTTACACTGCAGTAGTTTCTATGCCAGGTTTAATATTTTCTGAACTAATACTCCTCTCTGGAAGCACAACAATGCAAGGCTGCAAGCTGAAATAAAGAAAATGAAAGGATGATAAAAACACCTGTAAGAATAGGATAAGAAAGCTATTAGAGAATTATTGCCATACCTGTGAACTGTAGCAGTACAACTTTGTCCTATAACAAATTTCTTGGATGGATCTGTTATGTCATTCAGATGCTAATAAAAGACAAAACAATGACGGTTGACTTGGTGAAAAGTCTGATTGGGCTACCTGTGGTAGCAGAGCACAGGTAACCCAACTTTGAACAGAATCCATAAACATACCATCTTGGAAGGGGCAAACGCCAAACTGTAGTGTTGTTGGTCATCCAAACAGACTATCATGTAATCTTCTTTAATAAGCTGCACACTGCAATCAACTGCTTGATTACTCTTGAGCTGGTGATTAGAAAGGTATATTTGAAATCTTGTTTTAAATTCTATGCTAGATTTTTCTCAACATTTTTAGATTATCTGAAAAGTAAAATTTTAAATACACTTGTACAATAAAAAACAATTTTCCCCCCATACATCTAAATAAAATAATGAGCTCTACCTTCTTTTTCTTGCTTGGCTTGTGACCCATTTCTTTTTTTCTTTCATCTACGATCTTCGGCATCAGGGTTATGTCTGCCATCATGTTGTCAATGTTATAATCCAAAAGAACACCATATACAACCTCACTTACCTGGCAGCTAACACCTAGAAAGATGGCAAATGGGACGCGAAATGAGATGAAAAAGAATGGAACCATTGTTTGAAACATGAGAAGCAAAATGGGAAATTCAAAAGAAAATGGATAATGCATAATTAGGGTGTGAAATATAGTTATATATTAACTTCGACAACTATTACAGGAAAGCTGGATGATATTAAGCAAAATGTAACTTTAAAATTGGGATATAAAATTTCAAAAAATAGGTTGACCAATGAAAACTGATAACATTTCTGGAAAATTGAAAATGGGTTGAAAAATGAGACATTCAAGAAACTCCCTCACTTGTTAAGTTGACCTAAGACTATATACCTTGTGCTAGCTGATGTGGGACAAATCCCTTCAAATCATTGGCAAGTTGTAGAGTAATACCATGTTTCTTGACAGAAATCACCTACAACCAGATTATTATTGAATAATTAGGGCCAAAAAACACATGAAACACTTGCTTTTTATTGGAAAGAGATTTCAATTTTTTTGCAAGAAGACTGGTTGTAATTCTCGTTTATTCATTCGTTCCTTCAATCATTTGTTGGTTTATTTATTAATTCTACCTGTTAAAAATTATAGACTGTTTATATTGTAGTGTACTCACTTTTGCTTCAATACAACTTCCTCTTTTTAAAGATAACAGGTTGTTGGCTTTCTCTGTTTAAAGAAGTAAAGTAATTCTAGGTTATGAATGCTTGCATTTGGTATTTGTCGGTTACTCTTTTGTTTGCTTTTGTCAGTCTGTTCCATCCATTTATCCATCTATCCATTTGTCTTCCCATCCACCCATCCATCTGTCCATCTATCCTTCTGTTCTCCCATCCATCCATACTCCCATTCTAACATCTATTCCTACTTCCACATATCAATACATCTATCCTAACACCCATCCCTTAATTCATTGAAAAAGTGAATCAGCCTCTGTCACCGATTTATTTCACAGCTAAAAACAACAACGCTTGTACCTGATTTACTAGCAATATTTTCTAGTATCATTTCTTGCTCCTTAAGATAGTTTCGAAGCAGTTCTACAGCCATTCTTGGATCCCACTGGCCATCGTTATCTGACATGACATCTGACTGCTTCAGACTCACAAGGAATCTTTTACGCTCTTCGTCAATTTCAGTCACCTAACAGAAATAAAATAATAAACACCACTCACAAAACAAGAACTTACAGTAGTAGAACTAGTTTAGGGAACCAGTGTCTAATTTGCCAGAACGAATTTGTGGGGAGAGAGTAAACCCCAAACCCTTATCTATGTTTGATATTTAGGATATTTGTATGATGGCGTCATTCAACTCCCACCACCAAACCCTTCACAGATTTATTTTCTTATTTAAATTTAAAAGGCCTCATTAGAACAGTAATTGGTACTTATTGACTGAACAAAAGAATGTGTGCAAGGGATTGTGGTAGCTGTAGTTAATGACACCATAATGCAAGGGGTTAGCATACTATTATTTTTACCTTTGCTATTACTGACTGTCCAATCTTGAAATGTGCTGAAGCATCAGAGATAAACTGATTGGCAAGGAACTGTAAAATAAAAACAATACAGCTAGTCATGCTTTAACCCTGACTTTTAACTGCTCTAGAAATATTACAAGTAATATTGAGTCTTAATTTAAATATTGAAGTCTTCTGAAAATTCTTATTTTGTACTTATACAAAATGTTATGTAATGTCATCAAAAAGAGAAAATAAAATAAGAGATTTCACATTTAATATTTGATTTTGAGCTAAATTCCAACTAAACTGTGAGTTAGCCATGCCCTGACTTAGACCAGCCCAGARGTTGTTTCTGGGTTTGATCTGTTAGTTAGCAATTCCCTAACATGGAACAGTCCTGAGGATGTTTCAGGGTTCAGTCTGAATTAGCCGTGGCCTGACTTAGGTCAGCCCAGAAGTTGTTTCAGGGTGCCAACAAAAAATTCTTATAGCTGTATATGATAAAATCTTCACTTACAGAGTTGGGTGCAAGCCCAAAGATTCTAGGAGCAAACTCAATGAACACGCCATATCCCATAATCTGCCTCACAAAACCTGGAAGGACCATTCCAACCTCAAGTTCTTCAAAACTCTTCAGCTGGTTCTTGTTTTGTGCAGCAGCTTTGAGTGATGGCTTGAGAGAAACAATCTGTAGTAAGCTTTGTTAAGGGGTTATAAACCAGTCTATTAGTAATGTCATCTTCAGTTATAGAATTACAACACAAAAACCAACATCAAAAGCAGCAGAAGTAGCAGTAGCAACCGCAACAGCATTAACATTATAATAAAAACTGCAATAGCATCAGAACAAATGGCAGCAGCAACAGCAGCACCAGCACCAATGCCAACAAAAGCAGCTGTAGCAGCAGCAGTAGTAACAGCAGCAGCAATTAACATAAACAACAAATCAACAAAAGCAAAAACAGCAGCAGCAGCAATAACAGTAACTGTAACTACGATAGCAGCAGCAGCAGCAACAATAGCTGCAATAAATAACTACAGGAGCAACAACAAACACCAACAGCAGCAGCAATAACAGCAACTGTAGTAATAATGAAAAATAAAAATAAAATGAAAAATGAAAGCACAGCTTTTAGGATACATTTGTCTTTTTGTTGCCTTGCCCATAGTACAAAGCATCACTTATCCTGACTGGTTTTTCAGATGGTTTGTAGAGATTGACCAAAGGTTCACAGTGACYAGGGTGATCTGACAGATGAGTTACAGGCAACAAGGCTGGGAATCCTTTAGGTTGGACTATTACATCAAGTCCTTCGCTGCTGCTGGCCACAACATCAATATCAACCTTCTGTTATGAAGATCATAATATTTTATTGATGAATAAATGATGATGATGATGATATATAACAAGGTTTACAAAGTGAGAGAAGAATAATGAATGCAATAAAATGGAATGATGGATATTTGTGTTGAAAATATTGACTGTCCAATGGACAGTGTGTTGACCAAAATTCGCAATTCGCTGTCTATGTGTAGTAATATGTCAATAAACCAAACTATCATTATTATTATCATTGAGCAGCTATTATTCTGAGCTCTAAATATAGCATAGATTGTATTCAAATTCGTACAATACTGCTGTGTTTCTTGATTACAGACTGATTTACTAAAGGTTAGCCTAATTTTAGTGACAGAATATAGTTACATATACCAATGGTAAAGTAAAGAATTCTCAACTTCAACAATACAAACTCAAGGCCAACAGAGAACTCTAAACTGGAGTATTGCAATCACTTACGGTTCCTGGTTTTCCACTCTCTTGTTGGTTAGATGAAGGTGATGCCAATGCAGAACTAGCCTAACACATTAACAAACACAATAAATGATGTCAAGTTATTATAAGTATTAATAGTGATTTTTTGTATGAGTGGCAATTAATGAGAGGGCAAATATATAGCCAACAGCAACTGTAGCATATAGCAAAACTGTAGTATATAGCAACTGTAGCATATTTCACAGTACCCAGAGCTAAGCACTGTGATTGGATTATTCAGAGGAAGACTATGGGAAGCCACTTAGGTGTTACAGTATGCCATACCATGCACATACTTTAAGTCACTACTATAAGTAAGTTTGTCAGTCACAAGAGAACCAAGCTTTTGGGAAGCAATGCTAAAACACTATGATTGGATTATTCATAGGAAGACTATGGGAATAAGGTGTTACAGTATGCCATACCATATACATACTTAAAGTCACTACTATATGTAAGTAAGTTTCTCAGTCACAAGAGAACCATTCCTTTGGGAAGCAATGCTAAAATAYATACAGTATGTCATAACCTGGAAATACCGCAAATCAGTATCCTATGCTTCTCAGTCATACGACAACCATTCTTATCGGTAGACATTTGAATGTTACAGTAAGTCGTACCAGTGACCTACACACCATAAGTCAGTACTTTATACACGTTCCTCACAAAATGACTTGGGTATTCAGCAGGACAGACAGGTATTCATATATTTTCATGGACGTTTAAAGTACAGTATGTCTACTTTAACCAGGGCAGGCCACTTAAGCAGCAAGAAGCAATCAAATTTTAGAATGAGAACAATACATTCCAACTTTGGGTAGTAATATAATGCTGTCCTGTTAACTTGAATACATACCTTTAGGCTCAACTTCATCTTCCCTTGCTCTGGTTGACTGCTCATTACATGACATGTTAGAACCTGGCCAACGTAGAAGACTTGATGAGGATCTTCTTGTGGCTGAATACTGTTCATGTCAAGCAAAGTTATTRATTGGAGAAAGAAATTGTTGCAGGTAATACGACTACCAGAATCACTCGTATATACAACGAAAAATTATTGGTGGGAGGGGGAGGGTGGGGGATAGCAGATATTTGACAGTTTGGGTACAAAAGGAGTTCTCACCTTAGTTCAGATTTTGGTATAAAACCTTTGACATTATTGAAAAAGGTGACAATACAGCTGTGCTCTCTGATGGATGGGGGGGATAGCAGATATTTGACAGTTTGGGTTCAAATAGAGTTCTTACCTTAGTTCAGATTTTGGTATAAAACCTTTGACATTATTGTAAAAGGTGACAATACAGCCATGCTCTCTGATGGATGTAATGAAACCATGTGTCGTCATCCCTCTCGTAGCATCACTGTACTGAGTGATGATGGGAAGGTCCGATGAAACAAGGGTCTTTTTGTGGGTTAGGTGTAGGCGTCGCTTCTCAGGATCAACTGTTAGTACCTTCATTGATGATGAAACATGTTACCATTATTATTAAGAACTTATTCATTTATTTAGTAAGAGTGATGCTTAAGGAGAGTGGCAACTTCGCACTGGTAAACTTGTGGCCCTCTATTCTTAATGTCTCCTAATGAGACGGGAATTTCCTTTTATGTGGTCATCCCAACCATGACGAAGGTCTAACTATTTGGATATATTTTTAGAGCAAAGGCAGCACCTTCGACTCAGATATTTCAAGACCCTAGTGTTGGTTTTTTTCTTCAATGTACTCACCCTGCACTTGATTTCCTTGCCGTCCTTTAGTTTCTTTTCAGGGTGTTTAAGGATGATGTCAGCAAAATGCAGTGTGGTAACCAGTCCTCTGATGTTTTGTGACACTGACACAAGCATTCCAAACTTTTCTAGGGTTAATATCTTACACTGAAGACCAAAAAAATTACTTGAGTTGGTGAATAAGATAGAATGGATGGCAAGGATGGATATAATAAAATGGATTGGTGGATGGTGGATGGAAAAAAAGAAGGATGGATGGATGGATAGATGGATGGAAGAAAAGAAGGATGTATGGATGGATAGATGGATGGCATAAATAGAAAAATGGATCGATGGATGATTAAATGAACAAATGAATAAAATTATTCATGTGATCATACAGCAAGTACCTCTACAACAGATCCAACTTTGATATCATTGTAGCGAAGAAATGGCCTTTCAATAACTGACCTGTCAACAAATTAACAAAATAATATAATCACGAAACTTCTTTAGGTTATGGCTAAATCGATAAAAGTACTGTGCTTTTAACACAAAATACCATAACATTCTCATTATAAGCCTTCCCCTTGTTTATTTTGTCAATGACACAAAAGAGATTGACTGTGAACATAAGAGAAAGAAATTACCGCTTCCTCTTTTTTCTAAACTCTTTTATTCTCTCAGTTATAAACCCCCCCGAATAAGAGCCCTCCTGCTTATAAGCCTGTCAAAAAACCCTTGCCAATGAGTATGATTCCAGGCATTATAATCAGAATTTTATGGTACACAATGTGCAAACTTACTTTTGCATTGTCAATGACACAAGTCCATCTATTGAATTGAAACCCAGAATACGACACCTGGATGAATCAAGAGGAAAGAATGAATATGTTGTACTTGTAAAGAAGAAGGGAAACCCTGGGAGCAATAAAATACCTGTGCTGTGTCCCTGCCTTGTATTTTTTCCCTAGTTTGTCCACGTGGCTATCAGCAACATGCGAAATCTAAAGAAAAATGTTCGTCAAAAAAATAATAACCAATTCAAACAGGGTAATCTCAGCAGGTGCCTTCACCAATGTGGGTGTCAAGGTTGGCATGTGCTGCTACAGTGCTGTCTCTCACAGCTGTGTAGTTCACCCCTTTGGTCATGGGTTTAATTCCCGGCTGAAGCACATGTAAGCTGAGTTTATTTGATGTGTGGTTCTCTCCCTTGCCACAAGGATTTTTCACAGGGTTCTCTGGTTTTTCTCCTTATGTAAAAATCAGCATGTGCGTTGTAAATATAGAACACAGTGGCATTGCATGTGAAGCAAACCTCATGGAAGAGTCCCTTTTCTTCTCTTCTACATATATTTTCCTACTGGTGGGCTAACTGTGTGTGAAAAAGCTTTTCCCCTCCTCTCCTCTTCTCAGTCTCCCTCTCTCAACACTTTCCATAGGAGAACAGAGAAGTAAACAGTTGCTTAGGAATATAGCAATTTCTTTAACCCATATAATAACCTGGAAAAAAAGATTTTTTTACTACATACATGTACATAACCATGGAAACTGTCCATCACTTTCATCAACAGTCCAAGTCCTTGATCTATTCTAACCACAGTTGCATTCTCAATGATATCCCCAAATGCAAGCTTGCCAAATGCATGGGGTGCATTTGCGATAATGCTGGCATGAAAACTGATTCCAACAGATTTACTCTTGGGGTTGACATGTAGTATGCGACCTACAAGCTGAATAAGATAAACAATATTGTCTGAAAATTACAAACATCATTCAAAAATTAACTTTCTCAGAATCTATTGATGTTAGTAAAGAAATCCAAACACCCAAAGCTTGCTGTGTTTGAGTTGAAGAACCTTCATTCTAGACTTGGCATAACAAGTGTGTGGAGTTTGTTAGTCTCTCTCCCTTGATGCAAGGGCTTTCCCCTAGGTTCTCTGGTTTTCCTCCCTTAGCAAAACCTAAATTACTAAATTCCAATTCAATCTGCGAGTTAGCCATGCCCTGACTTTGATCAGTCCAGAGGTTGGTTCATAAGCTTGAATGCTAAAAAATTCTTTGAATTATTAAATTACTTTCGTAACCTTCAACTCTCAAATCTTATCTTTTAATCCTTTAGTTATTAGTTACCTTCGACTTTTTCTTATATTTTTCTTCTAGATTTACTCCATCATCTCCATTTTCAGGCAAGTGGATTAAGCTAGCACTACCTTCAAACATAGAGAGAAAAGATACCAGAAGACCACTGGATGTGCACTAGTAAAAAAAACAAATAGACTGAATTCTAAAATATTGTTCAATTTTGTCCCAGAGATAAAAACCATAAGAAATTGTCAGAGCCAGTCACAAAAGTTAAAAAATAAGTACCTCCTTTACAGTTGCCTTGACTAACATTCCAGGAACAAGACTGGAAAATTTGGGCTTCATTTCATCTGTCACCTGTGTCAATCAATTTTTCTATATTTTAGCAATATAACTTGGCTAGCACAAAGTACCTTTCTAAAGCTGCAGCCATGTGGTCTGGAACATTGGATTTCTTTCGCATAGCCTCACATTCCAGCATTTCATAATGAATTTATACAGATAACAGGGACCATGGAGAGTGATTTTGATTTGGGGAGGGGGGGAGGGAGGAGGGCCTAACAACTACCAAAGGAGAGAGTACCTAGTGGGGTTCAGAGGCAGGTCCCACCGAAAAAAGTTACAAACTGACACCCTTGGAAGTGCAATTTCTAGTGTTTTGAGGGGCATTTACAACATATTTATTGCATTGGCTATTGATATTTTAAATAGTTAACAAGTAGATCAAAATATAGATGAGCCATACAACAATCTAGACTCACCACTGCAGAGTTTATTTTTTCTCTGTCTAAACTCAAAGTGATAACTCTCCCTTCCTTATCTGATGACTTAACCAGAACTTGAACAGGCTGTCCAACACTAAGGCTACCTGTTTAACAAATAATCAGGAATGAGTATCATGGAAAACCCCTTTGGATTGGGCTGCCTGTGGGAACACAGGGAACCCAATCCCAAAAAATACAAACTTGAAGTTTTAGTGAAGATGAAATTTTTACTTATTTTTTTTTAAAAAAAACATACCTGGTGGAAGTTGTTTTTTGGTAAGAAAGCCAGATTTTCCTGGAATACCAAACAAAATAACATAGCCATGGTCCTCTTCACTGGACACAAAACCATTAATTACCTGGAAATAAGTAGACTGTGGTCAAATAAAGTAATATGACAGTGTATATTATATATCTCCATCATATCTCCACTCAATAAGTCATGTTTATTTTATCATATAACCTATACAATAAACCAAAAATGAAAACTGCCGACCCTTACCATTCCTTGGGTAATGTTAGTCAATCCATTGTTAATATCGTCAGGATTGATTGACAGTTGGATCTTCTTGTTTCCATGCTTCTCTGCGTTAATCTCTTTGATTACACACACTACTAAGGTGTTGACAGTAAAAAGATCCTCTAGCAATGGAATGTTATCCTATTCAAAGAAAAAAGAAAGCATTTAGGAATTGATCTCTTTGATTAACCTATATTTATTTTCATTTTTAATCTCCTTCTCAAACCCCCTCACAAAAATCATCATCTGTCATACAAAAATTACTATCCTTTAACTGCATTGACCTTTACCTCCTGTCCCCTCCCCTCACAAAACTATATCAAGTCATCCTTTCCCAATTCTACCTTATCGTCATGGAAAGTTGCCCTTACACTCTCTTTATCCCATCTTCCCATTCAAGAAATGATTCTCTTTTATAAACTTGTAAAGACACATCCTCATGGATAACATACTAGTTCAAGTATTTTGGAAAATAACACAGCTAACCCAAAGCATTTTCTTACCTCTTCTTCCTCGTCCTGTTTCTCATCATGAGAGGCCAGCAAAGATGTAATCCTCTCATTTATATCAAAGATACTAACAAATCCTGTCAATCCATTTGGTAAGCTTACAATCATCTCAAACTGATTGACCTCTCTTATAACACCAAGTAACTTCAGCCCAGGGATGAGTTTCTGTTTGGAAATATTAATACAAAGCTATCTTTAATATTGATCGATGGTTTGATGCAAGCATTTCCAAGTGTACCATATGACAAAGACATAGCAGAACTTTATGTTCATACAAGGCTAACATAATGACTGGTCAGTAGCCACCTTGATGGCCAGCCAAATTAAATATATATAAAAATATATAAAAATTAAAAATTAAAAAAAATTAAATTAAAATTAGATATATAAAAAAATTGTAGAACTACAATTATGTAATTCACAGGGAAAGTGCTATTAATCAAAGTTAATTAATTAATTAAAGTTTTGCTAATCTGACATAACTTGATGTGCCTGCACATTAGAAATGTGGTAAATAATAATTTATTAAATGATAACAACCTTAAAAGAAAGGCTCTCAACATGCTTGTGTTTGGTAGATGATTCATATTCAACTGACTGATCCTCATCATCATTTGAAGCTTTCTTCTTTGGTTTTGTTTTTTTCTTCTTTTTCTTGCTCTCTTCTTCTCCTCTCTACAATATAAGAAGTATAACTATTACTTTTAGTTTTTTCCATTGGTAGTACAAAAGCTAGCAGTCAAGGTAGATCTAAATGTTTATTGACAGAGAGAGTGCGCTGTTGTGACGTTATTACTGTTGTCTTCCCCCATTTCATCCAGTCATAATGTGTATTGCTGGTTTTTAATCATTCCCAGGGGAGTGAAGTAACAAAAGACAGGGCAGCCATGTTGGTTGATATAACAAAAGAATTCATTGACAAGTTTTGTTAAATTTATCCAAGATGGAGGCTATGACAACTTGGGAAATCAAAGAATTTAAGGTTACTGTATATGTTATGGATACAGTACAGCTACAAATTTGTTGTGTTGTTACCCACTTATTATAAAACCACTCCAAACCTGGGGGAGGGGGAATACCTTCCTATATTTGCTATACAGGTACATGTTGCCAAACAGGGTATGGTTTTCAGCAGTTTAATCTGAAGCGGGGTCAGGGTTCAGAGGGCTCAGCAGCACATCCCTACCCTAAACGGGTAAGAGTACCTCTCCCCATTCCGTGGGAATCCAAACCACAATCAAGCTATCAAGATTTATTTGAATCACACTAGTTCCTTATGTCTCACCCCAAAAAGAACATCTTTCTCAGCTTCTTGCCTAATCCTGCGAACTTCCAGAGGACTAAGAGCGCTAGCACCTCCTCTTGGAAAGTCTACTTCTTTCTCTAGCTCACTAGACAAAACGAAAAAAAAAATCCGAGATCTTGCGTCAGAAAGCTTATATTAAATTAATGTTTTTCATCAAACTTAGTAAAGACATTGCTAACCGTTATTGTCAACCCAAATCAGAAATAAAATTTTTATTATATAATGCCAAGAAAAAAGGGAAAAGTCGAAAATACATTGCTTCATCCAACACAACATAAAAACACTTGCACCACGTGGAGACGAGAATCACTACAAAAGTTGTATTCTTTCAGCTTATTTTTGAAAACAAAACCATCAAAACTGACGATCATACTCATTATTTCCCTTCGCATCTACTTACTCTGTTTTATTAGCCTTGGTTGTTGTTTTTTGCCGTTTTTTGCTGAGTGAACTTTGCTCGTGGTCTACGGCCCGTTTGGTCGCCATCTTGCATTTCAGTCTATCCACAGGAAGCCCAAACAAGGTAATCCGTTAGCACTCGTTCCCGGGAACCCCAACAAATTTGAATCGGGGTGACCCACTTTGCAACAAGATCACTCAACATCGCTTGTGTCAGCCTGCTATGTCAAGATATTTGGTCAGCAGTTATAAAATTTGGTGCCGCTGATTGGCTGGAAATTTCAAAATGTTGCAGGTAATATGTTGCAGCCATGTTCAGATGGTGAAATTTGTTGCTCACAATGTTGCAAGATTAGAATGGGAGTCAACTTCAGATTTGTTGCATGCAACAAGTTTTGGGTAGATACATGCAGCAACAGTCCGATCCTGTCACACTGTGTGTCAGCAYCTTGAGTGTCCTCTTGAGTGTAGTGTGATATTCGCAAAACTTCATGCAACAGTTCACAGTGAAATGATTACAAAGATTTAATTTTCCCACACAACAGCAGCATAGCAAGGGGAGCATCCACATCCACATCCCACCCCACCCCCCAAAGGTTTTACTAAACCTGTGGATATGGCAAGAACATTGGGACTACTTATTCAACCTGACTTATTTTTTGCTTATAAATTTTTAACAGCTTATAAAACATTTTTATTCATGATTATTAACAATTAATATTTATTCAATAATTCTCTAGCTATAATTAATTTCTATCAAAAAATATAGGAATTTTCTTGGAATATATAAATAAACCCAATTCAATGATTTCTCATTCACCATTAACCTCCCAGTAAATACTGTATCACTCTTTAAGATTGGTGGAGATTGATCCAGGTACGTAATAAGCAGGTAAATGTATAGTACTCAAGATTTAATGACACTTTTAATGTTTGTGACAATTAGCTTTTGTGACCTGCCCAATGGCAACAATTGTAGCCTTAGCAGCTTCAACAAGGACTGTGGCATGGTCTAAAGCTGAGCAAAGATCCTCTAGCTTCATGTTCAAGTAATGCTCAAGTCTAATGATCACAAAATGCAGATCATTAGTCAATTGCTGAAGCTTATGGTGACCTCGTTTGGTTTTGGATGTAGCCATATGAATGGAAGCTCCTTCTATCACACTGTGGGAAACAAACTTTGTATCTACCATTAGTCTTAACTTCTCTGGGATATCGTGCTTATGGCACAAAGCCAAAAGAGCCTGTGTCTTGGAAGGGAGCTTTACATTCAGCAGCTTGTGTTGCATGAGTTTTTGATGCGTAGCAACAGCATTTGAGATATCCTCTACTTGCTTGTACATTTTAAATAAGTATTCCACTTTCCTTGCCTTCTTGTGAATTGTTGAAATTCTTAAATGCTCATTGAATCTTGAGTTTCCAATGGTGTCAGTCAGTTCTATTTCCTCTGATGTCACACCTTCTTCACAGTCATGTATTCCCCAAGGGTTCCAAACACCAAGGCATATCCAGCAGAAATCTCCACGGCATTTGGCACATGTCATGTGTTGACACCCACCATCTTTCTCTATAGGGTATTTACACTTCGGGCAACGTCTAACAGAAACAGAGGTCACACAATTGTCACCGGAAGTGGCTACTACCTCTTGATATTTTTTAGTTTGATGCCTAAAACTCTGTGCTTGATCACAAGATGCAGGCCAGTGTGGTTCTTCTTGACAACCAAAGCACCATACTTGGGAGCATGTACACATACATGGCAGAGGTGTAGCTTGCTTGGTATCTGCTTCCCTTGGACTTCCACATCCTTTGGTGTTTGACACCCTTGCAACCAGTCGGCACTTGTCACCAGGACACCAATTCCATTGCTGGTTTATTTCAAATGCTCTGTCCTGCTGRATGCTCTTGTACCTGAAGTAAGACTTGGGAGCCAATGACATAAAGGTTGCATCATCAATGCCTTCACTACATTCCATGGCAGGACAGGAAACTATTGTCTTCCCCAGTTGAAGCTGTGCTACAAGGTGCATTTTCCAGCAATCATTACAAAACCAGTGGTTACATGCCAGAAGTGCTGTGAACCCTTAACAGAATAAAATATCACATGGTTAATACATATATAAAAATCGTGGGAAAAAGTGTGAACTGATTTAAAAAAGTAGTAGTTGAAAGTCTGAAGGCATGCAATTGTAATTGCAATATACCTCCTCGGCTCTGACGTATGTTTTCCCATTTCAGACCACATCTAGAATATCATTTCTTTTTTTAAGGTTTGCACTCGGTTGCACATGAGAAGACACATGAATATGGATACAACTCAAACGAAGAATATTATTCTCAAGGGAATGACACATAGTCTGAAATAGGACAACATTACGCTCAAGAACTCCAGAGCTGAGGAGGTCTACTGTACTGTAAGTTATGCAATTGTTTAAATATATTAATATTCCTGAATATAATTAATTTGATCCTGTGATGCATGATAATAGAAATGTTTTGGATATCTATGAGAAAATATTATAAAAATATGATAGATTATCATTTATACCTTCATTTGAATCATTGGACTCARTGTAGCATATCTCACAAGTCTTTGAATATTTAGCAAAGTTTAGTGAATTGACATAGGTTTTTGCTGCAGTTTCATCTGGCAGTCTCTGGTGTAGTGCAGAAGATATTTCTTTAGATGCTTCAACCCATGAGCACACTTCAGTTTGGTGGCCAGTGAAAGAGTTCAGGACATCATATGCAACCACAGTCTTCCTAATCTTGAAGGACTCTTTCTTAGGATCACATGTTTCTCCAGTCTCTCCACAACAGATAAAGCTATTGTCAAAGATGTCTACAACTTCGTTGATGCTTAGATACCTTTTCTGGCTTTCTAGCTGAGCCAGTTTGTTGAAGTTGTTTGTGATTGTGTGTGAATCAGATTCACAAGAGTAAGTATTTTGATTATCATCGCATATAAATGTGACACGGACTTCACAAGACATGTTTTGTTCTGTTTCCCTGTCACAATGAGGTTCAAATAAAAGATACTGATGATGGCAGAATGGAGCAGCAATAAAGAACTTGCGTGGAATACTCTCCCCTTCCTTAAATCTGGACTTGAACTTATCTTGAAGGCCATCCATGTCCAAACTGTCAATCAAAACAGACAGTTCAAAGTCTTTCACAACAGTATTACTTTCCATCGTTGAGTGAGCTGTTGATGCTGGAGGGGTGTTCAAAATTGATACATTATCATCATTGTTTTTGTTTGCTTTCTCTTGATTGTCAATCAATTTTTCACATCCTTTACCATAACAGGCTACAGTCTTTGATGATGCTGGATTTCTGTTCTCTGTTAATTTTTGATTTGATTTTGCGTGATGATGAATTTTTCTTGACTTTCCCTGAATATCCCCAGATACCTTGCTGTCCAGAGCCTTTGTAACATAAGCTCCAAGATCAAGTTCCAAACAGTTGTCCACAAAACCACCTTGAGTAGTTGGGGTTTGATCATCTTCATAATCATCATCATAATCATCATAATCATCTTTCATATCATCAACATCACTCAAGCAATACTTGATCATTTCTGTCCTTTTCTTACTGCCACCATAGTACTCAATTAACTATGCTGCCACGGTCTCTAAAGTCCCCATACCAAAAGTCAAACCTGGCGCGATTTGACGCGGTTTCTTTCAAGTATGGCCATGAATGTGCAGAGATGCTCTCACAAACCTCATAATTAATTTCAGTCCCCTTTGAACACTTGTATTTGTCTCCAACATGGCAAAACGTTTTTCTCTTCTTTCCTCTATCCATCAAGCTCGATAAATCCTTCGCACTACTATCCACAACTCCACAGCAATCACCCCTTTTTAAACTTTTCAGTGACTCTTCATTATCTTGACTATTTGCTGATCTTCGTTCAATTAGAACGACCCTTGGGCCCAAGTTATCTTCTCCCTCGAATGCTTCTTTATCTTCAGTCAATTTTTTTCTCAGCAACTGAGGCAGGAGCCATCTTTTCTTCTTGTTTAGTGACAAGACAGCGTCGTACGACGGATATCCTCTGAACCATTCATTATCTGGATTCAAACCGCGCTGGAGGCTTTCTTCCACGACAAGGTCGTTATCAAAGCCGTCAGCAATTCTAAAGCTGTTCAAATGTTTTTTAATTTCATCTGTTTCTAGAGGGTCAGTCTTGTTAAAAACCACTTTTGTGATATAGCCAGCTCTAGTGCAATGTGAAGCTCGTGGAGGTTTCGTAGGAGAGCGCAATGTTCGGCCACTATGAACGCCGTATTTTCCAACTTTGTGCCAAACCATTCTTATCTAATCTTAAGAAAGATCACCTAAGGTGAAGATCTGACTACAGGCAAAGATCGAAACCTTTAACTGATGTTTTTGGGGATAAAACTTTATTTAAATCATATAACCTTGCAGCACGTTTTGAAATGACACGAAAATAGAAGGTGCGTAATTTATTCTCTCGTTGATTGGCTAGAAATGATGTCACGATTTCACCACAAAGCGCAATAGTTGTTAAGTGTGACGTAATTCGAACGAAAAACCACTTTCGGGTCCAAATTAAAAATTAAATTAACGAACATTTTTTTGCTCTTTTCTTCATAGCCGGATTTTCTGTTAATATATCTAATCGTTGAAGCTAGAGAATAAATCCTGGGAATGAGTTGTGGGGAGATTTTAGCGATCTTTTGTGTGATTGGACCCGGAAATACGTCACAACCTTCAAAGCCCTTTTCGACACAGGCAACCCAACGTTCGTGTTTCTCTTCTTCTTTTTGTCTTGCTTCTCAAAACGTAACATTTAAGAAATTGAAATCTAAGTCACAATGAGAAAAAGAAGCTATGCTTTTTCATAAAAAGCAATGACTCCATGGACCATATAACACGCTGCAGAGTATGCAGATGGCAGGTAGTAGACTTCACAGATAGTGCCATTCAACATCCCAACCAACTTTACTTTTCTTTCTCAATTTTTCTGTTTCCATAACTTTTGATGCATTAAATAATTTTAACAAATTCTTAGTCAGAGTCATGCATTTTTATGCTAAAGGAACAACTGGAAAGAGTTGTGTGAAAATGCTTTTATTGGTTTCAAATTTTCAATTCCCATTTCATTTCCCATTTTGATTCAGCCTTTTTCATCATGCATTTGAGGTCACATGCTACATTCCATTTGAATCACTAATTTTGCCCTGCCATTATGTTATCTGGTTTTCTTCCTTCAGCGAAACCCAAACACTAAATTCCATAGTTAGCTGTACATAGGTTTGCACCACCCCAACGGTTGTTCCAGTGCCCTGACTTATATCAGTTGAGCTCTAGGTTGTTTTTAAGAGTTGGATCTGTGTGTTAGCCATGCCCTGACTTAGATCACACCAAAGGTTGTTTCAGGGATAAAAAAAAAAGATAGATTTATTGATCACTTCAACGTAGTATCAACAAAATTAATCTAAGGCTTTTGCAAACTACAAAACATTTGCTGGTAGTATTCATTTCTTTTTACAAGGTCATCTGTGCACATTAGAATTTGGTGTTCATCTATTTCAAAATCATTTGTACATACAACTGCCTATGAAAGTAATTGTTTTTAAATCTGTACAACGAATGATCAATGAAGGATTCATGATGATTCATGAGCAGCCACATTGTATCAGATCTACAATCACTTGCCTTTGGCTCTTAATTAAATCTGAAACAATGACTCCTGATGCACAAACATTTTAGACCATGTGTCATTCCCTAGAGAATCATTTCTTTGTTTAAT